ATAGATAGATAGATAGATAGATAGATAGATAGATAGATAGATAGATAATCATACAAAGGATACTTTTGGGAGCAGTTCAGTTTTCAGTAAATGAGGGTGAGATGGGTTTTGCTTTCTCTACAAGCAGAGCTTTCTGGGCTTTCTGCCCGTGGCCAACTGTGAATCCTTAAAGGATTGGTGGGTTAAAGAAGCACTTTTCAAGGAGAGAGACTTCTTAGCTCTACCGGTAAATTGGTGCTCTGCGGTTGTTGGTTTCTATCTGAGCAGCCTGTGTTTTGATGTGTGGGTCATCCAGCTGTCTGCAGCTGTTCTTGGGAGCAGGTACTCAGAGGAGGCTTCAGGCACAGGTCACTGAGAGCTCCAGGGTTGCTATTTGGAGATGGCCACAGTGATTCTGTGGCCTGAGTGGGCTTGAGTCCCTCTTAGTTTAGGTGTAGACGTCATGCCTGCAACTAGGGACACTGGATGAAGACTCTCCTGTGTGAGTGTAGCTAGATCACTGCCCAGATGGAGAGAGGTCCACCTTGATGCCTCCTGAGGCTTCAGAAGAAGGTGAATTTGGGGGCCATGATGGTTGGGTCTGGATCAACTAAGAAACATGCCTCTGGGTGGGCCTTTGAGGGAATGTCCTGGAATGACTGTTCCTCTAAAGAACTGAGCTAATACATGGGCAGAGCAATTCAGAGCCACTTTTGTTAACCAGTTATTTTAGCCAAGAGTCACTTAACTAGACAAGGAAGTCAGAAAGCAGGGATGGCAGCCATGGTGGCACTCAGTGCAGAGGGGTGACAATGGTCCAGCTATACCTTGGATTTGCCTCTGGTTTGCAAAATAATAACAAAAAAAAAAAAAGGCCAGGCAAGCCCAGCTCTCACACAGCATGCCTCTTTGGTAGCCCTGTTCCAAGGTGGAGAGAGGGGTCAGTTGTGGGTAGAGACTGGGAAAGGTCTCCCTTACCTCCTCTTTTCTGATTGCAGGGGGAGATTGGCCCACCTGGTCCCCGAGGAGAAGATGGTCCTGAAGGCCCAAAGGGTCGTGGTGGTCCCAATGGTGATCCTGGTCCTCTGGGACCCACTGGGGAGAAGGTTTGTGTTTATAATGCTTGGCCATGCCTAGAAGCTCTGAGTCAGATATGGCTCCTCCTATGCCCAGTAGTGGGACTCCTGAATAGTCCATGCCACCACCCTCAGCCTTTTGTTACTTCCCTCAGTAGACGTGTATGCATGTGCGTGTGACTCTGTGTGTATTCGTGTGTGACTGTGTGTTTGCTCATGTGTGCACATGTGTGTGTGTGTATCCTTTGATCTTTATCCTGTTCCAAGTTCCCCTTCTACCTGCCTCCCCACCTTGGAGGAGTGTCTCCCTCCAGATATAGACAAAGCTTGGGGACCTCACATGAACACGCACCCCTCGAACACGCACCCCTCTCAAATCCTGCCTTCACTTTGGGGGTGACAAAATGTTCTCACTACAGCCCGACAGCATGGCACGTGCATGAGACTCCAATACATATGTGCCTGTCCCTACCCTGCCCTGGCACACTCCTACACCTTGTCCCCAGCAATCTGGAGGAGAGGAGACACAGAGGTGATGAAACCTCCCAACCCATCTGGCCCTGTGGCTAGAGTTCTCACAGAGTGTTCAGGATCCCCACGGATACGAATATCCTTCGTGCCACAGTACCCATCTCTTTGCTTGGTGTTTGGTTTTCCATGCATGCTGGTAGGTTCAGACATATCTTACTTCCTGAGGGCTTAGAGACCCACTCCCTTCCAGGGGGAGACCCAGGTGCCTCTGCAGGCCAGCCCTACCCTTCCAACCTGCTCTAGCCCCTCTCAGAACACATCAGCACTGTCTGCTCAGAACAAGGTGAAGAAAAGTCATGTTTATGATTTATGAGTCTTTTTTCTGCTCCTAGGGAAAGCTTGGAGTGCCAGGATTACCGGGGTACCCAGGAAGACAAGGGCCAAAGGTAATTTAAGCCCTGCTAAGTATGTCCTGACAGGCATTGTCTCATGTAGCACCCCACCATTCCAAGCCCCCTCATCCATTCTCTACCTCTGCATGGCATCCGTGCTACAGTGGAACAATATGTTCACTGTCATCTCACAGTCCCCAGGCAGCCTCTGGTGTTAATTTGACTAAGCTCAAAGAAAGCAATTGGACAATGAGTTGAGCCTTTCAGAGAAGAGGGCAGAAACTACGCCAGCCATGGGGCAGGTACTGGGACCTGGTGGCCTGCTGGGGGAGCCTATCCACACCAGCCTCCTCTTAGCCCCACTTGGCTTTGGAAGTACAGAGACTCTGTTTATAATGGAGCAGGAGAGGGACAACCTTTGTCTTATCTGCAGTCATGTTCAGGCTTAAGTGGAACAGGTCCTAAAGGCTTTGGAAATCAGTGAGAACATTATTTTCTTCTCATCTCACATTTTATTATTCATGGCTCCTCCTTAAACAATAACTGCTGCGTGCGCTGGAGACCTGGTTAGCAGCACGCAGCCAGCCCGCCCCCGAAGCGCATCCCTGCCCTTCTGCTGCCTGCTAGCTTCACTGCCTTTGACCCACAAGACCCTGGGCCTGCCACCCGAAGGAGGACGGGCTGCATGGGCAAGTGGTGGCTTAGCCTCCTGTCCACTCTGTGTAGACACACATCTAGCCTGCAGGAGTGTGTCCCTTAGATGTGACTCTGATGTAGCTGTCGCTGGGAGCCATCTACCCAAGTGTTGGGAAATGGGCTCCCAGCAAGCACATTTGCTCTTCCTCTTTTCAGGTCCTCTTTTTGGGAGGAGAGAGAAGGAGAGGAGGCTTTTGAGAGAGGAGAGGGTGGGATATGACTAAGTGCTGGCAGCTTTGGAGATGTGAGAATCAGGACTTTGAAACTCCGTGTTCCTGTGCTGTGACTAGAAGCAGCACTGGGCTGCACAGCAGCCTGGGAGTTCTACCATCCACCTCAGAGCCCCTTGTTTCAATCTCCTGCCTGGGTGGCCAGAGGGACATAGAGGAGGGATGCAAGAGAGGGGAACAAGCAGACTTCCTGCTATAGTTAAGCCACGCAGAGGATAGACAGACACTCGAAAAGAGTCATAGACAACACCCACAAGGCAGTGGGCTGCCCTGGGTGTGTCCCGGGCAGGCCTTGTGGCATCTTTTTATGTAGAGAGGGAGTTTGGATGCTTGGCAGATCAAAGTCTTGAAGGCCATGGCCCATGTGTAGAGTTGAAAATATTCCATACTACAGTCTGCCTGTATTTGTGTCTATTTCTGACCCTGAAAACTGTCATACTTTAGTTAAGGCGTTACGGACCGGTCACAAAGTATGACAGCAGGATCAGTGAACAGAGCTGTGAAATGCAACCCCATTTTCTAGGGAACCTCAGCAATGAATGAACCCCCAAAACATCAGCTGGCATTACACAGACTCTAAGTGGGGGCTGAGGGGAACAGAATGAAACATGCTAGGACTTAGCTTTGGGGTTTAGGTTTGGGGTCTGGAGAATGTTCAGCAGAGTAGGGTGGATGGGTGTTGAGTGGGTAGCTAGACAAACGGATGACAGGGGAATCAAAGGGTAGGTGAGTGGATGTCCCATGGGCTGGTGACTTAGGTACGGTGGCTACATGGGTGTGGGTACAAAGCAGATTTGGTCAGTGGGTAAGGGGTTTGTGTGAACTGTAGCAAAGGCTCTCCATAGTAGCAGGACAACGTGGTCCTTGCTGCTCGCTTGATGACCTTGTTTTATCTTTCCTTAACTCTTGCAGGGCTCTATTGGATTCCCTGGCTTCCCGGGTGCCAACGGAGAGAAGGGCGGCAGGGTAAGGACTGTGGCTGTTTGGTTGCTTTGCTGTGCGGCATTGGCTCTCTAGACAATGCCCTGTTGATTTTTCTCCCTTTGTTAGCAAAGGTACTTTCAGGAGTAGCTGATCTTAGCTACTTAGTTACTTAGCTACTTAGGCTTTCTTTAGCTTTCGGTTATGGAAGCACCGAGATAGGAAGGGACAGTGGTAAGAAGAAAGAGCAGGCTGGGAAAAGGTTATTTTGTTCTCTGTGGTGTGATCTGCCACCTCCCTTAGGCTGGGTGCATTTTACCTTGGGCTGTGTGCAGTGACTCCCAGACTTACAGTGACCGTTGAAAGTCACCCTGGTTGTAAGTATGGGGCAGGGCATGACACCATTGGCTTCCCTCTGTTATCATCTTCACAGAGGTCTCTTGAGGGTTGGCTTATGGGAGCCATGTCTATCTGCCTCTGTGATATCCCTGTTGGCCCAGGGCTTCAGGCCTGCAGAAGCTCTTCCAGATGTCTCTGTGTAGTGTCACAAAGCCTGAGCACTGCCAGTTAGGAGATGGAGTGTGGTGGTCATCCTGGGCCTTGGGTATGTGAGGAAGAGAGAGGCCAGTGGGTGGGGATACAGAACAGAGTGCTCCTGGCTAGCTTCCCTCCATGCACACACAGAGCGCACGTGCTCTCTCTCACAGGACATTGCTTCATCAGAATGTCATGTGCAAAGCAGAGCTGATGCGCTCTTGAAGACAAGGAGAATGACTTTAGGATAACTGAGACCACGTAGGCAAGCTGGTGGTTACCAGCCTCGCAATGTGGAAAGCAGGGCTGTCCTGGAAGTGAGCACACAGGGTGGACGCTATATCTACTGCCACCGTGTGCCTCTCACACAGTCCGTTTATCATCTTTCTGTTTTCCTATCTTTTATTTTCTATCCATCCATCCATCCATCCATCCATCCATCCATCCATCCATCCTTCCATCCTTCCATCCATCTGTCTATCTACCTATCTATCATCTATCTTCCATGTATTGTCTATCCCTCTCTTCTCAGACTCTCTATCTAGAGTCATCTGACTAGTGTTTGTCCCCTGAAATATTTGGAGGTACTCCCTGTGAAAAGTGGCTGTGTGGAAGATCTCACAGGTATGGAAGATACTGCTGTAATAGGATGGAGAGCTCATGGGTTGTTGCTTTGCCTAAGCAAGGGCCCAACAGAAAATTGGGTGTCCTCCGACTATTAGGTATGGCTGGTTTCCCAACTGTCCGTGGATGCTGAGGGCTGGTCTGGCCTTGCAAACAGCCTTTGGTACAAAATCATATCCTGAAAGAATGCCAACCCCAAGGCTCAGGTTGTATTATCCTGTTGTTCCCTTGTGCTGTGGACCCCTTAGTTATAGGGGGCTTTGCAGAGGCAGTTCATTCACTTGCATTGCACGTTGCCTAAGTCCTTGCTAAGCTCAGAGCTTACCAGGCAGGGGATGCTCCAGTGACTGAGCAAGATAAGGAGCAGCCAGTAACCAGCGCTCAAGGGTAATGAGCATGCAAGGGAGGATAAACCCAGCCCCTCGACCTGCTTCCAGAAGGCAGAGACCAGAAAAGGGGGTGGGACAGAAACGCTTAGAGAAGCTGAGCAGCTAAGCCCAGTGCAGAGGCCTGGGCCGGCTGAGCCTGTGGAAGCTGTGCCTCGAGATGGGTCTTTATCCCAAAGCAGTCAGAGTTTTGACTCCCAGGGAGAGTTTTGAAGGTCGTCCCGGTCCCATGCGGGAGAGGATCAGGAAGAGGCTGGGCACTGTGAAGGCAGCTGGTTTGCGCTGTGCCCTGGAGACTGGCTGTGCTTGCAGATGATCTGGTCAGCAAGCTGCCTCTAGTATGGGATGCCAGGCAGGGTTTGCAGCATGTGTGTGTGTTTTTGCTTCTCACTCAAGTGCTACCTGCATACCTCACGCCTCTGTTACCAGAGACCCAGCTTCTACAGAGCTAGTGTCTCATGTCTTTGCCTGACAATGAGGTTAAATGGGAAACCATCCGAAGCAGCATGTACTTTCAAGCTGGCCGCAGCCCATGGCAGAGCCATGATCCAAGCAAAGCTGTGTCCTATGAAGAGACCCTGCCCCTTGGAGGAAGGGGACCCTTCCCAGGAGAGGAAGGCCCCATGGGGGTCTCCGAGCAAATTCAAGGCTCTTCATACTTCAGCTTGACTCTGGGCTCCAGAAGAGTCAGGAACCTCCCATTCTTTCCTGTCAGGGATTAGAGGCAGCAACCTGAACAGTTAATTTGTGAGGGAGCCCTGGAGCCATACTCTGCTCAGCAGCTCACCAGGCCGAGCTGTGGCAAGGGGTAGATGACCACATACCCTGCTGAGCAACATGCTACTCCAGGACTCAGATGGAACCTGGGCTGAGACCAGTTTGCCTCCTGACAAGGCTTGAGTGCCTAGATGCCCTAGGCACTGTCAGGGCAGGGTGTACCTGGGAGCCAGGTATACTGCAAGGTCAGATGGGATTGGAGTTGTGATTCCAGGCAGTGCTAAAGGTAGAAGAGGGACAGAGAGGCTGGCTCTCACAGAGGAGTCAGGGCTAGTGACACTGTCAATAAGGGCACATGCTTGGCATGAGAAGACAGGAGACATCTTATTTAATTTTTATATGCAAACATTTACCTGCAGCCAAAGGATGTTGTCACATAGCTGAAGCACTGTAACAGGAATGGGTGTGTTGTTAAGAGGGAAAAAAAACACCCATAATTCTTCTGCTATGAATTGTTTCATTAAATGCCTTTCAAAATGGGAGATTGTTTTGCTTCTGATAGTGACCCAGTTGAAAATGCTAAGGAGAGACTGATTCTGTGGCCTCGGTATATAGATCTGGGCTGGCTTTGTTGGTAGAGACCAGGATAAACCCGGATGAACCTCGGAGCGTTGGAGTCTCTGTGCTCAATCCATTAGCTCTGTGTGCTGTGGGTAAACTGCGCTTGTGGGCCATTACATCCTTGCTATGGCAGAAAACAGATAACAAATGCTGTGCGTTTGCTTTCTGGGGTTCGGGAAATGCAGATCAGCAACAGCAAAAGGACTGAACTCCGAGAGATGCTGGGGACTCTTGGATATATGATTTATATGTTAAATTGCAGTTTCCCTTCGCGCCTGCAGAGCCTGATGAAAATTTAATGCCTAATATTCTTAACTGTAGCAGAAGAAAATTACGTGTGATAGGAGTTGACTTTCTTCTCTCTCCATGTAATGATTTCTGTGCCTTCTAAGAGGAAAAGAGAGAAGAGGAAGGAAAAGAGGGAGGGAGGGAGGGAAGGAGGGAATGAGCCAGCTAAGTAACAGACACTACCCATCAATATTTCTGCCCTTACACTCCCCTTCACCCCCAGATAGGCCCTTTCTGGCTTCATTCTGGATTCTTGTAGTCTCTTGTTAACTCAGGGAGGGAAGCCTGCCGAGCAGGGCCACACATGCCAGTGTGACTGACATCCATTTCTCTGCTTCTAGGGAACACCTGGAAAGCCAGGACCACGGGGACAGCGAGGCCCAACGGTAGGCCTCTGTACAAAGCAAGCATGTGGGTTGTAGGTGGGTGGGCTCTGTGAGTCTCAGGCCTCTGAGCTAACTGCCTTTCTTTCTCTCTGTCCATCTCTTCAGGGCCCGAGGGGTGAAAGAGGCCCACGGGGCATCACAGGGAAGCCTGGCCCTAAGGTATGTTCCTGGTCCTCCGAGGCATGAGGGTGGTCAGCAGTCTTTTCAAGTAAGGACAAAAAGATAGTTTTCTTGAGCCTCATTGAAGGGGACCTTTGCCCTATAACAGCCTTCAGTGAGCTTGTGAATTGGACAACATGGCTAAGGGTAACCCCAGGAGACCCAAGACAGGCAGAGGTGGGACAGCCCTTGCACATGGGAACTTCAGGCCCAGGAAGCCAGCCTCATACAGACCCACCCAGCTCTGGTGGGAAGCTTTATTTCTTTTCTGGGAAAGGTGTCTGGGAACAGGTTCATCCTGGTGCAGGCAGACGCTGAGCCCACCCCTGCTGGGACCCCCTCATGCCGAGGGGAGTGAAGCCAGCTCCCTGTGCTGTGACTCTGAGGAAAAGCCAAGCATGGCATGTTCTAATCAGTAAAAATCCAGAGGAGGCGTCTGAAGAGACAGAGGACCAAGGTTTGGTTCCCAGCACCCCCCTGGCAGCACAAAATGATCTGTCACTCTAGTCCCAGGGAATCTTAGGGGATCTGATGCCTTCTTCTGCAGGCGCCAGGCACGGGGCTGGTGCACAGACATGTGCGCAGATGAAAGGAAAAAGCATATAAAAATTAAAACTAGTTCCGGGGGCCTCGCTGAGAGCCAGTTAGCTGAGAGTCAGAGCTGACCCATCATCCCTGACCATCTCTTCCTTGGAGCTTCCTCTGTGGTAAGCTCCGGGTATATTACACACACACACACACACACACACACACACACACACACGATTTCACACATGCACACACACGCACACATGAATGCATATACACACACTCACACATACACATGTACATACATATACACACACATATGCACACACACACGCATTCACACATGCACACATACACACGTACAAACATATACACACATGTGCACACACACACACACACACACACACACACACAAACACACACGCACAGAACTCTTAATGAGAACCAGCCAGGTACATGCAAGGGTCCTGAAGCTGCACCTTGTGTTCTTTCTATTAAGTCATTTTGATGTGTTCTTGGCTGAGCACAGCCTGTGTCTGACTAGTCACAGGGACCTGCTCTGGAAATGTCACCATTCTGCTCATGCTGGCTCCGTATTGACTGTGTGCTGACCAGTACGGAGCTAAGGTTCAGTGCTGTTACACACTGCCCTGTGAGGTCAGGATGACCTTGGGCTAGCAGTCATGGTAACTTTTTCTCTTCTCTCCCAGGGCAACTCCGGAGGCGATGGCCCAGCCGGCCCTCCTGGCGAGCGGGTAAGAGTCTTCCAGGCCTGGGGAGATAAACACACACTTGCCTCTGGGTGAGCCGGTACAGGAGGCCAACAGTGCCCTGCAGAGGCGAAGGCTGAGGACTAAGGGTGATTTTTATCCAGAAGTGATGTGTTCCTTGGGGAGGGACCTCATCTCACCCTCTGGACCTGGCCTTAGGATGCTACAGGTGACTGAGACTGTAGAATTAGCCCTTGACCTCACACGGAACAGAGGACTCTGGGCATTGCTATGTAAATTGACTACCAGAGTTCCCAGGGAGGACTTGCTCTATCTATCTATCGATCGATCAATCGATCGGTCTGTCTGTCAGTCTGTGTCTGTCTGTCTATCTATCTATCTATCTATCTATCTATCTATCATCTATCCATCTGCCTATCTTATCTATCTCTTATCTATCTATCTATCTATCATCTATCTGTCTATCTATCTTACTTATCTATCTTCTATTACCATCTATCTATTAATCTATCCATTTATCTAGCTATCTTATCTGTTTTCTATTACTCATCTATCATCTATTTATTATCTATCATCTCCATCCATTTATCTACCTACTTTACCTATCTCCTATTATCTATCTATCCATCTATCATCTATCTCTCCTATCTATCTTCTATTACCCATCTATCTATCTTCTATTTAGCATCTATCTCTCTTCTCAGTTCCTCTAGAGTCAAATGGGGAAAATGGGGTCAGGTTAAATAGCGAAAAGGTTTTAAGTGCAGTCAGTGCCACAATGGGGAAACAGTGTGTGTGGGGGTGCTGCTAACAGGAAGAACACCTGTCTTTAAACTGGTTATTATCTGTTCCCAGGGACCCAATGGACCCCAAGGTCCCACCGGCTTCCCTGGGCCCAAGGGTCCCCCGGTAAGTAGTGCTTTCTCCCATGGAGGTGGTAGGTCAGGTTCCCCTGATACTGTGTTCTCCTCATCTCCCTAGGCTATGGGGGAAGGGAAGGGGCACACAGACCCCTGCTAGGCAGACAGTGGAGACCATCTCCCAAGGCTGGCTGTTAAGGCAGCCAATCTGTGGCTGTGCCCACCCATGTAAGCCACCTGTTCTGGAAAGCATTTACTTTTGGACCAACATTCCCCGACATGAACCTCCCCTGCTGAGGCCCTTCCCCTCCCACGGCAGGTCCTGCTGCTGTTGAACCATGACTGGTTCAACATTCTGTCTGGGCCTGCATTAATGTCTTGGATGATCATGCAAATGTAACAAACATGGTGTCTTAAAACCACTAAAAGGTCATTTTTCAATTCTGGGACCATGTCTGAAAGCAAAGCTGGTTCTTCCCCAGAATCGAGGCAGGCCCACAGCAGAAGTCCACAGCAGGGAAGGTCCACTCAGGGCCTACCCACTGCAGGGGAGAGCCCACAGGAGAAGAGGGTACATGGTAGGGGACATCCTACAGCAAATAAGACTCCATACCAAAGGAAGGCTCATGTCAGGAGAAGGCCCAGGAAGGTGAGGGTCCATGCTAGGGGAAGTCCATGCCAGGGGAAGGTCAAGCCTGAAAAGAATCCATTGTAGAGGAAGGTTCAAGGCATGGGAGGTCCGTGCCAAAAGTCCATGCTGGGGAAATTCCACATTAATAGTGGGACCATAGCCAGGTCCATTGTAGAGACTGTAGGACACTATAGGGCCCATGGCATGGGGGATTCGTGGGAGGGAAGGATCTCTTTGCCCACAGGAGACAAATCACCTCCTTGGTGATTGTCTGGCTAGCCAGATGAAGGTTGGTCCCAGTGCACCAGGCCACCCGCCTGCTCCAGCTTCGGGGGCTGGCTGACCTCCCCTGCCTCTGTTAACCCCTTGGGGCAGCTATAAGGATTGCGCGCACTGCTTCTTCCATGGCATCTAGTTCCATGATCACTATCCCTGTGAGGGCTTGGGTGATCTCCTTCCTCAAAAGCCACTAAGATGAGCTGCTGAATGAGCCTTCCCTGTTCTGATTTGCTCCCCAGGGCCCACCAGGCAAGGACGGGCTCCCTGGACATCCTGGGCAGAGAGGCGAGACCGTGAGTATTACAAGTGCTGGGGACATGGCTTTGCCTGGTCTCTCTGGCTGGGCCTCCCACAGCCCTACACATAACGTGCTGCTGACTGCCTGGCAGTCAGGGGTCCTTCCTAGCTGGAAAAGACCAAAGGCCTTGGCAAGAATTCCCGTGGGCCAGCCATCTGCTGTTGACTTGAGGTCAGACTGTGGGGTGAGCAGGAGCCCCAGGATGTCACAGTGTAAAAGGAAAATGGCTCTTTGCTTGTTTTAGCAGCTTTGGCCAAAGGCCATGTTTAGAGCATCAGACATCACAAGACCTGTGTCTCCAACCTTTATTTTTCGAGGGTAACTGGGAATGTAGCCTTGCTTGGGACACCACAGGCCTTATCTAGAAGAGTACTTGCGGAGGTCTGTACTTGGTTTTTTTTTTTTTTTTCCTTTTTTTTATTATTTTTTTATTATTTTTTTCTTTTTAGTTACATTTTGTTAACTCTGTGTCCCAGCTGTATCCCGCTCCCTCATTCCCTCCCCAACCCCACACTCCCTCCCTGGTTTCCTCCCTGCCCCTTTCCAAGTCCACTGATAGGGGAGGACCTCCTCCCCTTTCATCTGACCCTGTTTTATCAGGTATCTTCAGGGCTGGCTGCAAAGTCCTCCTCTGTGGCCTAACAGACTGCTCCTCCCCGGGGGGGGGGGGGTCAAACAGCCTGCCCTTGAGATCCTGTTAGAAATAGTCCGTGTTCCCCTTACTTTGGAAAACTACTTGGTTACTGAGCTACCACGGGCCACATCCGAGCAAGGCCTGTACTTGTGACTAGTTGGTTGTTTAGGCTATGACAACCCCATGACAAGGCCCATGGGCCTTGGGTATCACACAGAATCCAGCATGGCCCACCTGGGAGATTTTAGCTGGGGAGCTAGCTGGTGGGAAGGAATGGACGGGTGCCGTTAGCCTCCTCTGTCACGGTAGAGAGGATGCTGTGGGATGAGATGATGGCTCAGTATTAAGTAAAGTGCCTGATACGATGAGCACGAGGATCTGAACTCAAGTCCCCAGCACTGGTGTAAAAGCCAAGACTGAAGGTGCGGGGGTTAGTCTGTAAGCCTGGTGCTGAAGACAAGAGGATTCCCAGGGCTAGTCTAGCCAGTGAGTTGGCTTTGGGTTAAGTAAGAGACCCTATCTCAAAAAAAAGTATGTGTGCATGTTTGTGACCTTGGTTGCACTTGTGACCCTGGGGTCCCAGACTCTGGACAATTGAGCCCTCAAAGTGCTGGTGACCTCTGTGCGTTCTCTTTGTGTGCCCTGCCTCATCCACAGTAAATGGGCAGTTTGCAGAGGTGTAAGTATTTCTCAGTGTCAGGCTCCTGTATCACTGCATCCTGAAGGTCTCCAGGGGCTCTGGTGGCTGAAACTGGCTCTCCTGATATGGGTCTTTGAACACCTTGTCAGACAGAGTCCTGGTGCCTGCTTTAACACATTGTCCCCCTCTGTCTTTGAGCACATAGAGACGAGAAATCTTCTAATTACGACTTTGCCGGTGTTCGAACAGCCTGTGCTGGCTGATAAATGGAGATTACCTTGCTCTTTTGTTTAGAGAGAAAAATTAAAACATTTCTTCAGAGCTTTGCACATTTTCTTCTAATGCCTTTCCAAGGAGACAAGAGAGAGGAATTTTGCATACTGCGTCCTTTTCTCCCTCAGACTCATTCTGCAGATAATTAAGTCTCCCCTCTCTGCTTGGGAAAGTGTAGTTTCCAGCCACCTCTACCGTGTCCAGCTACCTCTGTAGACTCACGACTGCTCCATGATGCTGCTGACCATTTCTGAGATTCATTTGTAGACTTTCTTGTAGAGTGTAGACTTTCTTCGTTTTCCTTTTCCTCTTCCTGCCCCCTCTTTTTTTGTCTTCCTCCTCTTCCAGTGAGCACAAATGGTCAGTGCTTCTCCTTAATGGGAGCCAAAAACTCTGTTTCTTGGCAAGGAGCCGAAGACCAATTCCCTCCTTATCAGGCATGGTTGGCTCTACAGTGACTATGGACCCAGTGAGAGGCCTTGCTTGCCATGAGCAGAGCTTTGCTTTGGCTCCTACCTCCTCTCAGCACTTCTCCTCTTGACCTGTCCATTAGCTCTTGTGTTTGACCCTCAGAGGAATGTATTTTAGAAATGGTCACTTCTGCCACTGTGTGAGCTAAGCTGGGCTGAGAGGGAAGAGGCTTCTGGGCTGTACAGGGCAGAGTCTGCTGTGGTTTGTGTGGCCAGTGAATTGTGAATGGTATTAGACTGTTGCCTGCTGGCCCTGAGCCACCTGCTCACCTTCGTGACCTCTGTGACCTCTGTGCATCTAGACTGCCCTTCTCTTGGGTAGATTCATCCTTTACCCCTGGCAGCTGCAGGAGCATCTCATGGTGCCCACTCTGCTCTGCCAATGCCCCAAATCAAGCTTGACTTGCTGCAGCTTCCTGCTCCATAGGAGAGTTTGGGAAGCAGAGCCGAAGTGGGAAGGCAAGCCTGGGCCATTCTAGGCACGAGCACTCAGATCCTCGCGGAGGCAGTGTCTATGAAGTGACTTTAAACCAACACATTTGAGCTTCAGAGAGCAGCCAGGCCAGGCTCCCTCCTGTCCTAAATATGAAGAGGAGCTGGCTGGCGAGTCACCTGCCGTGCGTCAGAGGCATGAACAACAAAGGCTAAAACGTCCCACAAAGTTGCTTAATGAGCACCCATCCAGAGATGGTTCTTATGTGTCCTCAGAAAACGAACACACAGTGACATGAGGGAGAATAACAGGCCTAAAATCTGCTTCTCAGCACAAAGACACAGCGTGGAACTGACCCACTTGGCTCCAGTACTCTCATGAAATTAATATGGAAAGGGGGCATAAGGCGTGACTCTCGGGTGAGAGTTTGGCATGCAGCCATCCGGCACTGGTCGGGGACAGGCCGGGGGACAAGCTTCTGAGACTGCAGCAGGGTGGTAGGTGCTGCCGCCATGGCCCTCAGCTTGCTGTCTTTCTCCACAGGGTTTCCAAGGCAAGACTGGCCCCCCAGGCCCCCCAGGAGTGGTTGGCCCTCAGGTGAGACCGTGCAGCATCCTGGGGCTGGGGAATCTCTGGTGTTACCAAAACACGGGGATATGGTCAGTTTCCTAGAGGTGCGGACCCCATTAATGGAGAGGCTTAAGTCCCGTGGCAAGTATGCTAACTGTAGGAGATGAAGGGGGCTGTGCTGAGAGAAAGCAGGTGACTCATACAACACAAGGGCTAAGCTCAGCAGCAGCCTTAGGTGACCCCAGGTCAAACAGGACTAGGTTCTGGAGTTGGACTAGCCCTGAAGGCATGGAGGTGGGGTTGCAATGGGGTCTTCTTGTCCTGTTGTGAACAGCAGAGGCACCCAGTGCTCCTCCACTAGTCAGTGTCATGGGACTCTGATTCCAACCAGCACAGATCAGTGAAGGGTACAGGGCTGATGGCTCTAGATCCAAGAACAGTTGTGTACCTGTCAGGTTGTCACTTAGCAAGCCACACCTGACATAATGAGAAGTGTGAAATTTACAGCCAATGCCCACCACAGAGCTGGAGCCATCAAGGCCTTCTTCCCTCTGTGGCAAATATGGCAGCCCTCAGCAACTTTCTGATCACATCCCAGAAACACAGCCTCCTGAGAGGTACAGGGGCAGGGAGGCAGCAGCCATGGCTAGCGCTGTCTGGCTGGCTTCATCTTTTCCTTCTTTTGGATGGCAGGAGGAGCCTTGAGATAGAATAGAGGAGCATGGTAGGCCCACTTTGGGTGTCACCATAGTCAGTGCGTACCCAGGCTTAAGAGGAAGACATCATTCCCTTGCAAGTCATTCAACACCAACACGTGACAACACTGTCTCTCCCCACAGGGTCCCACAGGAGAGACGGGCCCAATGGGTGAGCGTGGCCACCCTGGTCCTCCAGGCCCCCCGGGTGAACAGGGCCTCCCTGGTGTCACTGGAAAGGAAGGGACAAAGGTGAGTTTCTGGAAGCCTCCGTGTCAGGTGAATCTTGTTTCCTAGGGAATCAGAACTTTGTGCTTCCTCTTGATCTTTTTGGATAAATGCTCAAACAAATTTCTCAAACAAATGCTTCTCTGAAACCCACACGTTCAGATCTACTTTGCTTGAACTGAGACAGGACTTGGAGCCACTGCAGGTGGAACACAGAGGGGATGTGGGATCAAACTATCCCATGCCCCATGGAGAACGCCTTCCCCTGCTGCCCACTTCTCCCAGAAACAGACTAAAGGCCCTGAATCTTCAACAGCCAGTACAGATCTGGCAGAGAATGGTCTTTTGAAACCCCCTCACTCAAACACCCTGAAAATAGATTCTAAAAGTGAAAAAATGAATGCGTCTCCAATCCTGTGCCCAGTGCTGGCTCCTGCTGTACCCTTTTTGTAGTCTGTTCAGCAGGCTGGGCACCTCAAATATGTGGTTGTAATGTCTGTGTGTTGGTATAAAACTCTCCAAGGTTTTTTGAGGGGAACTGAAAACACAAGCTCTCAGCCTATTTTTGTTTTTGTTGTTGTTGTTTTGAGAAGGCTCTTCCTGTGTAGCCCTGGCCATGTAGACCAGGCTGTTCTCAAACTCTCAGAGATCTACCTACCTCTACCTCCTGAATGCTGGCATTATAGGTGTGTGCCACCATTCCTGGTCCACGCCACCTGTTGATGTGACCACACAAAAGAGTAAATTTAAAATTAGAGATAGACAGCCGGGCATAGTGGCTCATGCCTGTAGTCCCAGCACTCAGAGAGGCAGAGGCAGGTGATCTCTATGTGTTTGAGGCTTCCCTGGTCTACAAAGCAAGTCCAGGACAGCCAAGGCTACACAGAGAAACCCTGTCTTGAAAAACAAAACAAAACAAAACAACAAAGTAGAGACATACACTAAATACTGAGTAAAATCAGATATCGTTTATGTGTTGTGAGTAAATTCATATATCCTCAGATATGTAAGTATGTAAATACACATGTAACCATAACACACACAGCATATGGTCTATAAATCTTTCTACTCCAGACAAGGAGAGCTCATTGAGTCCAGAAAGAAGCCAAGCACATTTGATGTGGTGACCTGGAAAGATCTTTTTGTTAACATGTGAAGTCAAGGGAAAGTTCTGAAAGATAGTCTAGCTTTTACATTGTCAAGGAAGACAAGCCCAATGGTGCCTACTTTTAGAAGTGGGCATTGGGCTGATAGCAAGTTCATTGAGTGACTGTGTGTTTTAACCACAAGCCACCGGGGTGTCCTTATCTTGGCACAGTGCCATTGAGGAACCCAATGCAAGTGAGGACTTTCTTTTCACTCCAGTTCCTCTTCAGCCCCTTGTGGCCCCGATGGACTTTGCAGGTCAGGGTCCTGAAAGAGCACGGGTGTGGGGGGAGAGTCATGATTGGAGTCCCTCCCCCAGATCTATAAGCCAGCCTGGAGAACATGGCTCCTACGTGTATGCAGGAGCTGAGCTCAAGTCCATGGAGAAGTAGAGGTGTGCTCGGTCCTGGCTTCCATCCCCAGCCTCCAAATCAAAATAAAACCAGAGCATTTCTTTAAAGCCAAACGGCTAGAGGAAGCCCAGCTCAATACAGATCACTAGTGGATCTCCACAAAAGACTCATCCTGCTCTTTAGACATGGATCCTGTGTCCTGGAGGTTAGTGAGAAGGCAACAGCTGGAGGCTCCAGGTGAGGTTAACTCTGGCTCTCTTTTCAGGGTGACCCAGGCCCTGCTGGCCTCCCTGGGAAGGATGGTCCTCCAGGATTACGTGGATTCCCTGGGGACAGAGGGCTCCCTGGCCCTGTGGTAAGTGAGGGGTCAGGTGGGTGTAACGCTGTGGTACAAGGCCCTGGGGCTCTCTCTGAGTGCTTTCACCTATGTTCTTACTACTTTACAGGGAGCACTTGGACTAAAAGGCAGCGAAGGCCCCCCTGGCCCCCCAGGTCCTGCGGTGAGTCAAGGCCTTCCATCTTATCCTATCCTTCCAGACCTGTTGTCCCACAGGCAACGAGAGCTGGGGCGGCATGCCTAGATGCCAAGGTTCCCAACAAGTGTGTCAGGGGCACAGGCAGGAGCATAGGGACAGCATTCCCGAGCCAGAAGCTGAGTTCATAGAATCACAGGGCCACTTTGTGCAAGGGACAGCAGAGAAGCGGCAGCTTGGAGATCTATGTGTGGCCTGCCTGGGCTTGGAGGCAAGGAGGGAGGGTCATAGTTGGTGTGGACCTGGGTCAGCAGGGAGAGTCAGCACTCTTCTTATGAACTTCAAGGACACATCCTAGAGAAGGCTGGGCCACCTGACACAGGCAGGGAGGGGTCTATCTCTAGCCTGTAGCCCTGGAGCTATCACATGTTGTCTCATGAACTAGCTAGCCCCTCATCAATCTCAGAACCCCAACAGTGAGAGGCCATAGGACCCCTCATTCCCAGGCCTTTATCTGTGGCTTCATGTGGGAGGCTGCTCCCTCTGCCCCATGTGGATAAGGACTGTCAGCTTTGCTTCCATGCCGTGCAAGCTAGCCTGATGGCTCTGCACAGGTATAAGGGCCAGCTGAGTTTGGGAGTGACCTCCCCTAGCTGAGTTCCAGACCTGGCAAATCAGATGGGGTGAGAAACTAGCCTTCCCTTTGATAGGGTATAGGGAAAGCTTGCAGGCTGTGTTGACCTCTTGATATGACCTCAAGTTTAGCCTGAATCCCTGTTACCATCCATATCTGTCCCCAGATCAGGACCTCCTCATCTAAATCTATGAGCAGCTTTGTGGGCAGGCAGATCCCACAGGGATGGGTGGGTGCCAGGCCTCTGGAAAAGACCATCAAAGACACATGTAAAATAGGACTTGTTTCCAGACACTTGTCGGGGGAGAGGGCATGTTTAAGATGGAATTGTGAGAGAAGAGCTAAGAAGGGGCATGATGACAGCCTCAAATACTAGACCAAATAGTCCATGCTTGCAGACAGTCACGTAGGGAGCCACTGAGGGCTCTAAAGTGAGGGGAGAGTGGTGTGACCCATCGGTGCTTAAGGAAGTCTTATCATACAGTTCAATAGCCTCTAAAGTGAGCCATTTTCTTCCTGTAATTTAGGGCTCTCCAGGGGAGAGAGGCCCAGCTGGTGCTGCTGGACCCATCGGGATTCCAGGGAGACCTGGTCCTCAGGGACCTCCAGGGCCTGCTGGAGAGAAAGGGGTTCCTGTAAGTACCGCCTGAGATTGAGGTCCCCTCCCAGGTTTGGTTTTGTCCCTCCTGCTGTGTTATCTCCATGGGTACTTTCCTGGGGTGGGAGGAAGCAGAGGCTGCGATGTCTGATTATTCTACAGGGACAGACACGCTGAAGAGTCCTAGCCAGCTCAGCCCAGCCTGTCCTGAAAGTGATATTACAGTGGCTAGACACAGTCTGTCCCATATAGACCTTCCTCTGTCTAGCCGCTATGCCTCCTGGGTAGCTGGGCCATACTGTCTGCTGAGTGAACATCACCTCTGCATGGACCTCATCCCATAGCTGGGCCTTTTAGGAAAAAGACAGGTGTTTGGGAATGGGTGGTCCCTTTATCGATGAGAGGGCACAGGAAGGGAGGCACAGTAGGGCAGAGGATGGCAGGTAGGTCCCCAGAAAGTGGGGCATCTCCCCCACCAAGTTCCCTGGGCTCTGAAAGGCCTCTAGCAGGGACACAGGCAGGCCTGGGTTTCCAACACAGCCCTTTTCTGTTCATCAACATGGGTCCCCATCCATAGTGACACCCCAACCCCCACTTCATGTGCGCAATTTATATGCAGCATCATGCCTTCCCACCACCCCTGATTTCCCATGGCTGTGGGGTGGATTTCATAGATCTCAGCCCAGCTTCGCTATCTCAGTGTGGAATGCCAGAAGGAGCCTCCGTGGAGGATAGGAATGGAGCACTGAGCTAGACACATATGCCCACGGACTTCTCTGCCTGTGATGCTCTACTTTCTGTGTGTCCTGCTCTCTGGGCTCACGAGGAGGAAGAACACTCAGGCCACATTGGGACATCACTGCAACAGCCTTTTGGCAACTGATAGCACCATGCCATTTTTAGTGAGGTGCCCAGGACACAGATCCAGCTGGATTTCTGTGTACAACACAGAAGCTCTTGGAGGTCTAGGACATGTGGCACTCACAGACTCAGCCGGAGGAAGCTCATGTTTTCAGAGACTCAGCGTTTAAGCAGTTCCTTGCAGGAACTGCCCCAAGCAGGGAAAAGCTCACTGTCTCCCAGAATAGCTCCCGCAAAAGGAAGAAGTTGAGAGAGGTTCAGGAGGTCTCTGCAAACTCCCAACTTGTCAGGGAATATGGGGTGGGGTGGGGGAGGAAGCCCGGAAGCCCTGAACCTGCTGGAGCTGTCTAGCTTAGGAGGACAGGCTGACTCCGAGGAGTGGGACTAAGTGCAGGGAGGACAGGATGGCCTGGCCAAGCGTCCATCTTCCCCTCCTGTTGCACACAAAGAGTTTCTTTTTTACATTGGAAGAAATTAGCTGAGGTGAGAAAATGTCTGTTGCTCATGGATGATGGGATTTCGTCAAAACAGCATAGCAAGAACAAGTGAGATCACAGGAGATGACAGGGCGGTTGTGAGAAAAGCAAGTCAGAGTCACGAGGGCAGAGAAGATAATTTTGTATGTCTGTATGTCTGTGTGTGTGCTCACTTAAGCGTGTGTGCATGAATATCATGCTGTGTGCATGCCATGTGTGTGTATATGTTAGTATGCATGTCTGTATGCATTTTTGTGTGTGTTCCCGCATGTGCAGTATGTTTGTGATTATCCTGTGTGTGAGCATGCCCATGGACATGCATGTCTGTGTGTTTGTGCTCAGGTATATGAATGTGCACACATGTCACATGGATATGTGTATTGTATGTGCATGTCTGTGTGTATTTGTGTACATGCATGTCTGTGTGCCCAGGCAGGATGTTCATGAAGGACTGATAGAGTAACACAGTTCTCAGAAACTGCTGCTCAGGCTGTCCTAGAGCACAGTATGGCCCTTGCTCACTAGCTCAGAGGAGCCCAAGCAGGCTCAGGGACTTATGTTCACAAGCTCTGCTAATAAGCTTCCTGTCGCTTTGACAAATATCTGAGAGAAAGCACTTAAATCAAAGGATTTGTTTGGGCCTGTGGTTCCAGAGGTTTGGCTTCGTGGTTGGCTCCATTGCTATGCGTCTGTAGTGAGAGAGAGCATGGTGGAAGGACATGTAGGTCACAGTCGGTCATCTCATGGCAGCCAGAAGGGGAGTGGACACTCCAATTTTATTCTCCAGAACAACTGCAGTGCCATACTTCCTCCTCACATTCCCACAGCCGTCCACCTCCTCCACCCCCAAACCTTCACCATTGCATGTCCAAACTGTAGCATTAGCCATGCCTCCGTTTCCTCATTTCTAATGAGTGTGGCCCTTCTAAATTGCTTCCTGCTCCCCTCTCAGCTATTCAGACTGAACAGTGTGGGGCTGGATCTATTGAGGTTTTAATCTGTGTACTATTCTGAGTGTGGCTCTGGCCCAGCAATGTGCCAGCCACTCAGGGTCCAGAACCAGTCGAAATCAGCCTCCATGCCCCTGGCAGTATGCTAGGATCAGGGTGGTCCTTACCATGCCCTCACACCCCCAGCTTCCCACTCCTGGGGCCCTCTCCAGGGTGAGGAGTGGTGGTATGATGTTCCCAGTGTACAACTGTATTGAGTCTGAATTGCTTGTCCTCCCTAGGGCGAGAAAGGTCCTCAAGGCCCAGCTGGCCGAGATGGCCTCCAAGGTCCTGTGGGGCTTCCTGGTCCAGCTGGCCCCGTGGGCCCTCCTGGAGAAGATGGAGATAAGGTACGGAGGAGCTGGAGTGTGTGTGGCCAGGCAGGCAGTGTGTTCAGGGCAGTGTATATGATAAAGAGGGCTCAGCTGGCAGAGCAGAGCAGTGCCCTTCAGATCTGGCACGAGGGGGTGATTTTGAAGTAGCACACAAATAAACGGCAACAAACAAGACCTGTAGTGCATGTGGGGGAGCCTGAAAAGCACTTGGCTCCTTGGCAGCTTTCTGTTGCCTGAGACATGTGCGGGTCGGAGCCTGAGCTGAAGGAAGGAACTACTCCCTGCTCCCTTCTGAACCCTTTCAGGCTGGGACTGTGTGGGGCTGAATTTAATGAGGTTTTACTCTGTGTCTATTTTTAAGCATCTCCCCTTGAATGATCGAAGCTCAGTTTTTATTGCTATTTCTGATGCCATCGCGAAGGAGCCCGGATTTTATACTTCATTAAGGAGAGGCGGTGTGGCTTAGCTCTTCAGCGCCACTCTCCATTTGTCATAGCTCTCTGGTGATATTTCTGACTTTGTCACCTCTGCACAGAGGACGTCTTAGTCTTCTGTCTCCATGTGGTAGGCAGCCCAGCAGACGCCAGAGAGGATACTAGACCACCACGTCACCATGGCGCTAACCCAAGTATCACAGCAATCAAGGAGCTGGGGAGGTGACTCAGGCAGTAAAGCACTTGTCTCGAAAGCACTAGGACATGAGTTTGATGACCCCCCTCCAACAAACCCATGTTTATATAAGCTAGGTGTGGTGGTGTGTTTATAATCTCAGAACTGGAAAGGTAGAGACAGGAGGATCTCTCCCCTCTCTGGCTGGCCATCGTGGTCTGCAGAAGCCAGTTCAGTGCCATAGAGAAATGGAGCAGATGACAGGTAGGAATCTGCAGAGACAGTTTAGTGATTAAGAGTGATTAAGCGCTGTTATAGAGGATTGGGGTTCAGTTTCCAGCACCCACATGGCAGCTCTCCACTGCCTATAATTCCAGTTCCAAGGGATCCAACACCATCTTATGGCCTCCTCAGAGCACCTACATGCACAAACATACATGCAGGCCTTGTACACACACACACACACACACACACACACACACACACACACACACAGACATCAAAATGAGAAAGGAAATCAAAGTTATATAAGGAAAAGCCTTCTGTTGGCAAGTCTTAGGACCAGCTGAAGAGTAGCTGTTGTTACTCTCCAAGAAAGATTGCCCATGGGACCAAGAAAGGCACATACAAACACGGGACTAACAACATCCTTTCTGTCCATCCCCAGGGAGAGATCGGGGAGCCAGGGCAGAAAGGAAGCAAGGGGGACAAGGGAGAGCAGGTAAGAGTATGAGTGTGTGCCGGGGTGCCCACTGGGAGCATGTCTACCCTGGCGTTCTCCTCCATGAGTCCAGCACCGCAAACTCCTGGGTCACACCGTTAGGTTTCTTTCCTGAGAACATCCCATGTGCATGTGTGTGCTCTCGTGTGAGAGAGAATCTCTTGGTGTGGGAACATGACCACTGGGGCCTGTCACCGAGCACTGCAGAGGTGGGACATCCGTTTGTCCCTTGGTATTTCATACATTCAGGGATGCTGTGTGGGTGCTGCACCCTGTCACCCATGCCAGCCCTCTCCACGCAGGAGACTCACCTGAACCTCAGACTAGTGTCTGTCTCCTTACTCTTGAGGTTACGTCACCAGGCCTCTGTGTAGGCCTCTGGCTCTCTGAGGGCAGGGCCTCTGTTCCCACTGGCTTCTCTCTCTCCCCCCATTCCTGTGCCCACAGTGATCAGTGCTTGAGGACAGCATCAGGGGTCACGGTGGAGTCCCTCCTCGCTCAGCACTTAGGCGATTTGAGGCCTTTGGTCCTTATTGTCTAAGGGGCTCCTTGTGCCACAGCAGTGCATGTGATGGTTGCCGAGAAGGCATATAGTGACCTGTCCTGCTTCTGATGCCCATAGCAATATGATCATGGCTGAACTGAGAGCCCACAACCTGGCTTGGGTCATGATGTTAATAGTTGTTGTTCCTCTGATGAGTGGCCCACCTGAGGACTGCTAAACCACATCCTGTACAAGCCAGCCACTTCTTGAGACAGAAGTGACCTACTCCTGGACTCATCTGCAATCTCAAAACAATTATGTCTCTGTTTGACCCCTATAGGGTCCTCCTGGGCCGACGGGTCCTCAAGGCCCCATCGGACAGCCAGGCCCTGCGGTGAGTATCTGCGTCCGATGACATAGCAAGGCTCGCCTCTCAAGCTGTTGTCCATCATGTGACCTTACCCATGCTCACTTCCTTCCTCCAGGGAGCAGATGGGGAGCCTGGCCCTCGTGGACAGCAGGGCCTGTTCGGACAGAAAGGAGATGAAGGTTCAAGAGGTTTCCCCGGACCTCCAGGGCCAGTGGGATTACAGGTAACCATGGTGGTCCCAGGACCACTGTGCAGAGGTGTCAGTATCTTGCCAGGCCCACTCTTCTGTAGTCTCAAGAACAGGAAAACTGAGCCTCAACTGTAGGAATTTGAAGTGCTGCCAGTTTTATGGGAGTCCAAACACACACACACCCTCTCTCTCTCTCTCTCTTTCTGCGCTCAAACACAGCCACAGCTGCTTCCATGTTTACTGTGGAATTCTGAGAAATGGTGTCCCTGTAAGAAAGGGATACAAAGTCCACATCTGAACACAGCACCTAGAAGTTACAGCCATCAGCCCACCTCATTCAGTGCCCTCCAGGTTACCTGTTCTACCCACATGACTCTGCTTGATGTCACTAAAACCCCATGCTCACCACATAAGGCATACAGCAGCCTTTATTTTATGTATTGGGCATGTTGAATGCCATTAAATATTCTTTGAACACAAGACTTTATTTTGGAAAACACAGTTTTTAGTTACTGGTAGTATTTGGCATATGGTGGGGACTTGATTTATCCGGAAGCTTCCCTGCTGCCGGCTCATTAGGTTTATTGTTTTATGGGAAGCCACCATAAGTGCTGTTCCCCATAAATCTTTGCACTCTTCCTCTGATTATTTCCTCGGCTGTTTCGAGCCCTAGAAGCAGGAAAACATCCTTCCATGGAGGCAGATTCATGGAAATGCATTTCAGGGCCGGTGGGAAGCACCATGGGAGCCATGTCTCTCACAGAGTGGCACCTCATCACAGTTTCCTGTCCACAGGGTTTGCCAGGACCTCCAGGCGAGAAGGGTGAGACAGGAGACGTGGGCCAGATGGTAAGTGGCTGTGCCATCGAGACCCAGCATGGCAATCCTAGTTTTCATTTTGGGGGAAGGATGTTTACGTCTTGTCTTGCTCAATGGCCTCTCTTCTTCCCAGGGCCCTCCTGGTCCACCAGGGCCCCGAGGACCCTCTGGAGCTCCAGGTGCTGATGGGCCACAGGGTCCTCCTGGAGGAATTGGCAACCCTGGCGCGGTGGGAGAAAAGGTGATGTGTCTAACTTATCATAGTGTCTGCTCCATAGCCACGTGAGAAGTACTGTGTTTGTGTGTACACAGTCCTGTGCCCTGTGTACGTATGCATTCATGTGCCTGTGTCTGTGCACACACGTGCATGTATGTGTGTTGTTTGTGCAGACTAATTTCCATTACACCTATTGTGAAAACTAAAAGTGTATTCATGACGCCAAGGTGAGATGTCCGACAGTGTTCGTTTGTGGCAGCTGTTTGCAAAATCTAAAGTCATGACGCACCCATCCCTCCAGGCCCCACTGCCTCCTTCCCTCCAGCTCAGCCCTCATGCAAGGCAGCCTTTCCTCCTCCACACTGAGCTTGCTGTGACAGCCTGCCTTTTCACAGCTAGGGCCTTCTGGTTGGTGTTAGGGCCTGGCCCTTGAGACCGACTGAGCACAGTGAGCCGGAGAGTGTGGGCATCAATGTGTGCATGCACACTTGTGAATATACATATATGAACATGAATGCTCGTAGGTGGGCTCAATGACAGTCTCAGTGTGAGGCTGAGCTCCACAGAATGCTGGGAGCATGGCCTTAGGAAGCCATCTTGGGCCTTGGGGAGGTTTGGAAGCCCGCTGCCTGCCTTGTCAGGCAGGGCTTGCTTCTGACGCAGGATGTTATGCTCAGCGTGTGCTGATTTGCTCTTGTTCTTCATGATGTGAAAGGAAGTGAGGAATGGGTGTGGGGCAAGGCCCCACCATCTCTACTGCCTCACCCCTGCACCACCTTCACCTGCTCCCACCTCACAGGTCCTTCTTTTCTGTCTCGGCACTGCAGGAAAGTGCACTGGACCTCTGAGCTTCTGCCCTGCCTTACGACCTGTCTTAGTTGCTTGTCCCATTGCTGGGACAAAATACCTGAAAAAATTAACTCACAGGCTGACGGGCTTGTTTGGCTCGTCATGGGGGGAAGGCATGGCAGCAGGTGTGTGAGGCGGCTGCTGACATCACATCGGTGGTACAGCGCACCTCTGCTTGGGGCAGCCCTTAGTCGGTGTCCCTTGTGATTGGCACAGTGTCCCACCCCCACATGTGCACACACACATGCACGCACACACACACTCCCTCGTGCCTCTCACATTCCTTATTCCTCATCGGCTTCCCACTGCATTTCTGTGAGATATCCAGAGCAATAATGCTGATACCACGGAGTCCTGGACACCAGATGTCCAAGGCAGAATGGGCAGATGGGCAGGTGCTGACAGATGGACCCTCTGCTATCACCATTGGTGAGAGAACCTTCTAACACTGACTTGTCTCCTCAGGGAGAGCCTGGTGAAGCTGGAGAGCCTGGCCTTCCAGGAGAAGGAGGTCCCCCGGTGAGTGTGGCCCTGGAAGAGTGGTGGGATGTGGCCAGTGGGAACACTGACAAGGCACTGGACAGAAGCTTCAACCTTGCTCACGAAAGGTCATTCCCCTTTCATGAATGACCCTGCTGTGATGAACAACATATAACTATGGTGGAAAAGTGTGACACATTGTGGGGAGTGAGCTTATGTGTATGCATGTGTAGATATGTGGGGCTGAGTACATATATGTGCAGACCTCAGCAATGACCCCACGACTCATGGCCACCAATGACTGCCACCTATGGTACACTGGCCCTTTCACAGGCTGCTGCGGGTATGACCATTACCACCTTGTTGACTCAGGCTTCCAAGGCTAGCCTGAAAATAGCCAGGCCTCTGATGCTTGGAGTGCTGCCAGGCTTCGGAAGCAGCCTGGGGGACTGAGATGTCTCGGTTTTCTGTGCCTGAAAACCATGGGGGATAGAGGCACCCCAAGTAACACTAGCTGCCTTTAATTAATGCAGGAGCCAGCCTAACCTAGAGCTGAGCCTAGGCCTTGGAGGTTTTAGAAGACCAAGAATCTTTGTCTGCCTGGCGGTACACATGGGGTTGCTATGGAGAATTGGAAGCAGGAACAGCATCATCCCCATCCTGGGCCCAGGCGATATTGGGAAGGAGCTGTCAGTGAGGTGCAGCAATGAGTCCATAGATGGCCCATTCGGTGCTGTGGACCAGCACCATTCGGGCTCTCAGTGAGCACAAGTGGACTCTGAGAAATGAACCATAGCCTCTTTCTCTCCAGGGACCTAAAGGAGAAAGAGGGGAGAAGGGAGAGGCTGGCCCTTCTGGTGCTGCTGGACCTCCTGGACCCAAAGGCCCTCCTGGAGATGATGGTCCCAAAGGCAGCCCCGTGAGTAATGCTAGATGTTGTGGTGTCTGGACAGTGTCCCTGCACACAGGTCATTCTGAATCTCTGTGGTGTGCACCCTGATGTGGGAACAGCTGAACGAATGCTTTGTGTTGTAGGGGTAATTTTGTCTACTCTAGAGGTTTCCACACGGGCTGCTGGTCAAGCTGCAAGAGGGGATCAGGGAGGTACAGGATAGAAGCAGCAGCCAGCATGTGTGTGTGCACGTGTGGCGGGGGAGGTCCTGATGTAAGGTCTTCAGCTCAGGGAACTGCTTTTCCCTGCCGGCCCCAATTTTGCATTGGGAGTGAAAGAGGCCACCAGAGTGAATGTGTGGGCAGGACACCTGCCCTCACTAGTCTCAAAAGAATGAAAGCTGCTGTCCTGTGCCTGCCTCCTGGGTGGGTTCTCTGTTCTGTGGATTCTTCGGGATAGTGACCACCTGATCAAAAGTGCTGGGGTGCTGTCCCTTGTCCTTCTACCTGGGTTGTGGTGGGCCAGCCAGGGTGTCAGGCTGCCGACAGCTTGCTTATCTCTTCTCAGGGCCCTGTGGGCTTTCCCGGAGATCCTGGTCCCCCTGGAGAGCCAGGCCCCGCGGTAAGTGTCTATCCCATCTCTGACACCCCTTGCCACCACCAATTTCCCTGCTCTCTGCTTCTACCCCTTGACTGGGTCTCTGGGGTGTAGCACCTCTCCAGATTGTCCCTGGTCCAATGCCCAGCCTGCATTTGGGTTTAGGAGAGGATCTGAGGATACACTAAGGCAGGAGAGTGAACTTGTTCTGCCCAGCAGAAGCATCTTTCTTGTTCCCACAGGGTCAAGATGGACCACCTGGTGACAAAGGGGATGATGGTGAACCTGGACAGACGGTGAGTGTATGGTCTGGTGGCTTCCTGGTGGGAGCCTCTCTGCGTTCTGGGGTCTTTATGAGAAGCCCAAACCTGGGTTCCTCTTGACTGTGGCCAGAACTGAGGAGTGCCAAGGACCTGATGAAGGCTGGGACCCTTCCTCCAAAGGGAAGGTGCATGTGCAGTCCCACTATGGGACCTGTACAAAACTCCAAGGGCTCAGCAGAGTGCCCCAGAGCTCAGCCTGAATACTAGCCAGAGCCGCTTAGCATGTGCATGCCTCCTCTTACAGGCCCAACATCCCTGTGACTCAGGTCACTTCTTTGGGGTGGGACCAGGTGACTTCTTCAGGCCCCTGGGCTGGACTGTATTGTAGGTCTGTGCAGCCCACCCTCAAGGTGGAACCAGCTTCCAGGAATGGCTGCCTGTCTAGGTCTTTTTACTGCTGATGTGATAGTGTTACAGGCTGGGTGAACTGAAACAAGATAAACGTGTTTGGCCTAGGGTGCTAAAGGGTGGAAAGTCAAGATGGAGGGACCTTATCAGATGAGGTCTTTCTGTGGCTTAACAAGGCAAGAACAGACCTGGTGGATCATGCTTCTGATTCCAGCCCTCAGGATACTGAGACAGTAGCATTGCTGCAAATTTGAGGCCTTTCTGGTCTATATAATGAGTTCAAGGTCAACCTAGGTTTCAGAGTAAGACCCTGTCTCAAATAATAATCCTATAGTGGGTGTCAATATGAAGCGATGGGGAGGGGGGTTAATCCCCCTTTCATGATTAGCTTCTGTGATGCATATGTCTGCATACTCACACGACCCGATAGCCAGGTCAATACCAGCACAAGGGCAACTTGATTTGAGCCTGGGTTTCAGAGGGCATCCAAACCACATCCCTGACCCAAGGGCCAACACTTGTGTCACTGATCTGAGACGGGCAGCAGTGGAAATGAAAGGCTGGTGACACAGGCTTTGAGCCAAAGTGTCCTGTACATCACCCTCTGCCTTGGGCTCCCGGCTTGGCCCTTCTTCAAATGAGATGTAGGTGATGACAACATGGTAGATATGAGACCTGTAGTGTTAGACGCAAGCACGCCCCAGGGATCTCTTTGCTCAAGATGCAGCGACCGTGGGACGTGAGTTGGATTCTCTGAGTGCCACCAACAGGGCGCAGGGTGTGAAGGCTGCAGGGACTTTGTTGTGGACTGAGTTGCTGTGCTCACCCCAGAGAGGGGGCCGTGGAAAGGCCTGAATCTCCGTGTGTTTCCTTGGCTCTGGGCAGCACAGCCCTGTGCCCTGGTGGGACAGATTTCTAACGCTCTGTGTTCTTTCTCCTGACCAGGGATCCCCGGGCCCTACTGGAGAACCTGGTCCATCTGGGCCTCCAGGAAAGAGGGTAGGTCCTTCTTCCCACCGTTCCCCACTTGCTGGCTGCTTTCTGAGCAAAGCCCTCTACCCCTCGTGAAGGCCCTGGTGCCCCACATGGCCCTGAGGAGGGACACACTCATTAGGTCACAGATATGTGGGTGACACAACTGGGTGGAGCAACGTCTGAGGAGGCAGCATCTAGGCCGGGGGTGCTCTAAGATAACCAATGATGGACATGTCCACTGTACCACCACAAGATTAAAAAATCTTCAAAGACTGGCCACTCCTCGTCCCTAGACCAGGCCATTATGAACATAGGAGAGCTAGGACTAGGAACAGGTGTTTGTATTGCAAGCTCCAGTGAGTGCCTGAACTATAATACTTGAGCCAGAGAGTGTACAGGTGGGAGAGGCCTTCTCTACACAAGGCACCTAGGGCATCCTTCGATCCAGAGGCCTTGCCAACACCTGGAGTTGTGGGACCCCATATGGGGGCCTGCATCGTCACTGGCCAGTGGTCCGGGTGGCCCCACACCCTGTAGCCCTCCCCAGAGCCAGGGCCTGAGCTCCAAACTCAGGACTTAACTGCTATCTTGTTATTCTAGGGTCCCCCAGGCCCTACAGGCCCTGAAGGCAGGCAAGGGGAGAAAGGAGCCAAGGTAAGTTACTCTGGTGGCTGTGACTTCCATGGGCTGAAAGAGATTGGGACAGTGACAGAGCACAGTATGGGGACAGAGGAGCCAGGGAGGCAGAGGGAGGTGGGAAGGGCCATGGAGCCTAAGGGAAGATGAAGAAGGCAGAGGGAGTAGGCAGAAGAAGGCCAGGGTGAGATCACACTGAATCTTTGACCTATGACAGAGGATAAGATAGCACACACAGGAAGGGGGACCTTAGGAGACAGGGGTGGCTATTACCTGAGTGGCCCATGTGATGGTGCCCAGCACTAGAACACCCATCCACGCTTGCAGTGATGTTACCCACACAGCCTGGATGGGAACATTTGCCATTTTCCTCTGAGGCTTATTGAGCACTACATCTATGTGCTTTGTAGCCTGGTACCTGGTAAGTGACCCTCTGTGGTAGCTACCATGGTCAACAAGAGTCGTGGAGCCACTGTGTGTGGATGCTAACAGAATGGAGCTTGGGCCAAGGCAGCCTCCACAGGAAGGGGGGACGTGACACCACCCAGGGCACATGGGGTTGCCTCTGCGGCACCCCAGGGATCTTGGGTGGGGTGCCTTGAGCCTCTGAGCATCTGCATCTGCCTCTGCAGGGAGAATCTGGCTTAGAAGGCCCTCCTGGGAAGACTGGCCCCATCGGCCCCCAAGGGGCCCCTGGGAAGCCTGGTCCCGATGGTCTTCGTGGGATTCCCGGTCCTGTGGTAAGTGGCCTAGCAGGCCTGGGATGAGGGAGAGGTGCTGATAGAGGCACACAGTTACACCAAGACTCTGTTTCAGGGTGAGCAAGGCCTCCCAGGATCCCCTGGCCCTGATGGTCCACCTGGCCCCATGGTGAGTGGCATGCAGTGTCAGTGTGTCTGTATTGGTGGGGCACCGGAAACCCTGGGGACAAGAACACTAACTCCTCTCCCCTCTCTTGCAGGGTCCTCCAGGACTCCCTGGCCTCAAAGGAGACTCTGGTCCCAAAGGGGAAAAGGTAAGCTGAAACTCAGGGGACGCCAACATTGCAATAACAGCACCCTTGACTCAGTCACAGGGGTTATCGACCCACGGCCAAGCACCTGCTGTGGCTGTCCTGGGACCCTGAGGTATATTGACAAGAAAGAAAGACACATGGGCTTTGGGACTCGTGCCTGTCTGCAAGTCCTAGAAGCCCCAGAATTGACAAGAAGCTTCTAGAGCCCTGGTGGCTTCATTAACTCATGGTGATTTTTCTCCTCCTTACATTGATTTATTTATAAATAAACGGCTCACAAGACAAACAGCTGTTCACAGAGAAAGCAACAAGGAACATCTTTTTCCATGTTGATATCCTTCACCAATATAATGGAAGCTGAAGTTCTTCCAGAACATTCTAGAAGATCATTAAAAATTAAAGTTAGTTAGTTAGTTAGTTAGTTAGTTAGTTAGTTAGTTAGTTAGTTAGTTAGTTAGTTAGTTAAAATATGTATACTGGCAGATAAGGGGGAATTTTCTCTTAAAAGACATTCAAATGAGTATAATATCCTTAGTACTCTGTAGTTTCCATTCAGGCCTTATAGGAAAAGGCTACCTGCTTACCAGAAGTCAGAAAGTTTGCTAAGTAAAAAGATAGACATAAACCATCCCTCAGGGAAATCCAGTTGTTTCTGGATCCAGGGGCCCCTGAGTGCTTCTTTTTGGTTGTTATTGGGGTTCAGTGCCAGGGGTGGTGACAGTCCTGTGGAATTGAAGCTAGGACCTCACACATGCTAGTCAAGAACCTGGCTGCTCAGTCATACCCTGGCTCTCCTTGTATGTTCCTTCAAGTCCGTTTCTTACTAGTCAGGGACTGTGACATGTGTTTGGTCACCTGGCCCATCTTTGCTTATTTTCACTCCTCAGTGTGTTGACTAGGGCACATTTCCCTGTGTCACGGCTGTGTGCCAAGTCACCTGGTCCATTGTGCGATGGACTCAGGGCATGGATACCTCTCATGTCTTTGTTTTCTCACAGGGCCATCCAGGCCTGATCGGACTAATTGGACCTCCGGGTGAGCAAGGTGAAAAGGGTGACCGAGGACTCCCAGGCCCCCAAGGCTCATCTGGTCCTAAAGGAGAACAGGTATATATAGTAACTAACATTCCTAGAGCGGCTTCTAATTTCTCACAGAGAAGATGTCCTCATTGCCTTGGAACCCTAAATTTTGCCTTGCAGATGGGGTCAATGGGGGCTTGGACTTAGCTAGGTCCCCAAGGCACAAGTTAGAACATACCCTAACCTTAGATCCTGGGTGGAGGCAAAGGCTCTCTCCTCACTGCTGGGAAGATCCTCAGAATCAGGAGGTCTTAGCAGGCAGACCTATCCCCCTCTCCACCTCATGCAAAAGCCTCTGAGCTGACTCATTGTGCAGAAGGCAGTGGTAGGCCAGCAGTCATGGTTACTTGTGGAGAGAGGCAGAGCAATGGCCACTAACAGTCTTGCCCCTACCTTGCCACAGATGCCCACATCTGACTCCAGACTTCCCCAGGAATCCACAGTAGTTGGTTAGTTTGAAATCTTGATGGGCCATGGTGGAGGAAGCCCTGGCTGCAGGGTTTTGGTTTGGCTGCAGCAGGTGAAGTGAAAGAGACTCCCGAGCTGGAAGAGGGGTAGTTTGTGTATGGCACAGGAGAGAAGACACACATGTCTTTGCAAGGGAAATCCCCATTCATTGTAGTGGGCATCCCCGTTTTGTACCCACAGTATGACTGCACTCACGTCTGGGGGTCTTTGCTTACTCACCCCTAGGTCTGTCCCTAAAGACAGCAGGATGTGGGGGTGGCTGGAGCCTTTGAGGCTGAGGAAACAGCAGACGTCCCTCTTTAGGTCATATTGGCAGTGGGTGACATGGAAGGACAAGGCTCTTTGGAGCCACTCTGCCACAGTGGGCAGTTTTCTGACTGCCAAGTGTCCCAGGCTTCAGGAGCGCTCTCAGACTTGTGTGGCTCTGTACTTGTATGTTTACTCACTTCTTCCCACAAGTCGTGGTCCTGGCCACTTTGCAAGTAGAAGATGACTCCAGGGTGCAGGCTTGAGAAGCATGGGACCCATTAGGGACCCAGAGGCCTGGGCCCCAGCAGCTGATGGTAGAGGGACTCTGCTCCCTGTGAGGCTGGGCTGTTAACTGTGGCCGGAAAGGACGTTCATGGCTTTCCCCCTGTCCACTATGGGGAGACATCAGCCAAAATACGTGGCCACGCTGGACAGAAGGTTGGAGCAGACTTTTCTGAGTCTAGAAGTGCAGGTAGTGTCTTAATGCACAGTTCCTTCCAGCCTGGGCTGGGAGCTGGGCCTGGGGACTCCAACCTGTGGCTGATGTGCTGGTCAATCAGTCTAATCCATGAAGGAGATGTGGTAGCCCTCGCTGTGATGGAAGTGACAGCCAGGGTGCTTGACTATAGCTGCCAGGCAGGTTTCAGGGTCCCTGGAAAGGGGACTGGGAGAGAATCCGGAATCATGGCAGGGTCACGGGGTCACCTTCCTCAATCCCACCCTCATCTATAAGCTGGTAACTGACATTTTCTGCTCCATTCTAGGGCATCACTGGTCCTTCTGGCCCGCTTGGGCCTCCTGGTCCCCCTGGCTTGCCGGTATGTATCTAAGATGGGTGCAGTGGATACAGGGAGGAAAGGGAGATGGATGAACCTGCCTAGAGAACCACAGGAATGTTCCGGTTCCAGGGGGCAGGAGCAGGGGTTGCTGGTACCTTGCCAAAGGGAAAGGGAGGGTCCAACTTTAATGCCTGAACCCCCTCACAAAGAATGGAGATCCTTCTGTGTAAGAAGCTGAGGAGAGGGAGAAGTGTGGTCTTGGCTCTCCTCTTCCCAGTGTACCAGCCCAGTCCAGGCTTGAAAACGAGGGACGTGTTCTTTCAGCACCCTGGCCTGGGCCTCCCTTGTGTTATGAGGGTCCAGCACTCCAACGTCAGCCCTACATGCCCACTCTGACCCATGTGCGTAGGCTGGACCTTGGGCCCACATGGCCATGGATGTCCAGCAGCTGACACCTTTCAGGCCCCACAGGAGCCCAGGAGCTCCCTTGGCTTTGATGTCCAAGTGTCACTCCCCAGCTGAGCATTGTGGACCCCCTCCTCCTGCCTGCCAACCAGACAGGTGCAGAGAGGACTCTGGGGGGCTTGGGGACAGGCCGAGCAAAACTGGGACCTGAGTGGCCCCTCTGTTTACTGACATTCTGACCTCTGCTCTCTGCAGGGCCCTCCAGGTCCCAAAGGTGCTAAAGGCTCTTCGGTAAGTGACTTTGTGTTGACGGGCCTGTGACACCTGAGACTACCTTGGGGGTGGGCAAGGAGTCCCCTGGGATGTGGGTCACCCTGAACCCCGACCCTGATCCATGGCAATCCTCTCCACCCTCCTCTCTTCTTCATTACACTGTGTGCTGTTGGTTTTCCTTGTCTTTAGGCTTTTTTTTTTTTTTAATAACAATTCTATTGCTCCACTGCTGGCTGCTTTTAAATGTTATTTTAATTGTAGCTGTTCATGGGGTGAGGTGGGAGAAAATCAAGTGAGACTAGCTAGCTCTGCCAGATCCTGCAACCTTTTCATCCCTTTAGCTAACGTGTAACAACCATGTGTATTTATGGGCCTCCGTGTGGCTTGCCGTTATATATACATAACATGTTCCTGATCAAATTGGAGTCATTAGCGTTTTTGTGTCTTTCTTGTTACCATGTGTGTGGAGCCCTGCAGCCTCTCTAGATAGCAGCAGGCTAGAGTGTGCCAGTCCCCCGATGCGTTACAGAACACCGGGTTTTATCTCTTCTGTGTAACCGTGCTTGGTACCCATCATCTCAGCCCCCATCCTCCCAGTGGTCCAGCCTCCTGTCCCTCCCCCAGCCTCTGGAAGTCGCTATTCTACCCTCTGCTTCCTACTAACTATTAATTTTCAAATTTTGCGACATTATAGTTCTGTTAATGTTCACTTCCGATGCCTCTAGTCTGTCTGTCCCCCTCATCACCCCCGCCCCCCCCCCGCCACCGCCCATGCACAAGACCAGATGGTCTTCTTTATGACTGAGCAGCACTCCGTGTGTGTAAGACACATTCCTTATTCACTGGACGGAGCATCGAGGCTGACCCTGTCTTAGCTAGTGTGATCAGTGCAGTAACCACGTGTGTGTGATGTCACCGGATACAATGGCTTGCTTGCGCGCACACACACACACTCAGAGGTAGAACACCATGACTGTGAAGTGTCCGTCTTTGTTGGTCTCCGCCACGGTGGAGCTGTTTCCACACCAGCAGGGTCCCACCCTCTCCAGCCCTTCTTTCTGTCTCTCTGATGCAGTCCTGCTGACTGTGGTGGGATGAAGTCCCACTAAGGGCTGGGCGTTCATTTCCCTGATGGCCCCCGCAGCTGGCCTGCTTCCACAAACCTGTTTGTTGGCATTTTCATTTCTATTGTCTCCTGTCTTTCTAAACGAGCCGAGCCCATCTCAGGCCAAGGCCTCGAGGCTGCTCGCTCCCTGATGAGAAGGGTGCCTGCCTTGTGCCTTTGTCCTGGCCTTTCTAGAGATGGCCTTTCTAGGCCCATCAGATCACAGTAGGTCACATGACCAGGTAATGGTTTGTTGCTTTCTCCCCAGGGTCCCACCGGCCCGAAGGGCGAGGCAGGCCACCCAGGACTCCCTGGCCCACCCGTGAGTATTGTGTGACGTGTGAAGGGTAACCGAGGGAGTGTCTGTGGGGCTCGCTGTCTGAAATGCAGCGAGACTCACACGGCATGCCCAGGAGCTGGTCCCTGGGGATAGAGAGGGGGCTGTGAGTCTCACAGGCCTATCCATGGAGCTCATGGGCTGACTTGCCCTGGGTAGGATTAGAGCCAGTCAGATAGGGAATGTGCATGGATGTATGTGAGTATATGTGACTATGGAAGTATGTCATATTGCTGTACATGCATATGTGTGGTTACGAAAGAATGCACTCATATGTAGGTAACAATTTGTCTGTATACATGCTTGTTGGCAAATATGGATATGCACATTTGTGTACTCCACACATGTGTGCAAACATGTATGAAGTATATGTGCAAGTGTTCATGTGTATATGAACATGCACATATACATATGCAGGTGCATATGTGTGTTTCTCTGCATGTGTGTGAACATGTATGCGTATGTGAGTATGCGCATGTAAATATGTATATATGCTCCTTTATGTATATGTTTACATGCTTTTATATTATGAATGTATGTATTACATGCATACATGGACATGCATGTGCATTTCTGTCTGTGCATTGTACACGTATGTGTGTGAACATGCATTTGTAAGTGTGAAAGTGTGTTTCTCTCTCTGTGTGTATATGTATAACATACATTATATGTGTGTATACACAGATAGTGTATCTATGTGCGTGTGTACGAATGCGTGCATATGCAGGAGTGTTTGTGAACATGTGCAGAGGTGTGTGTGTATGTACTTACGTCCATGCCTGTGAACATGAAATGTGTATTGTATAATGTGTACATATATGTATTGTGAATATGCATTCACGTGTGGGGGGTGTATGCATTTATATTGTGCATGTGTGTGTCAACATATCTGTGTAATGTGCAGACATGTTTTTATATGTTCGTGAACGTGTGTGTGTTTCTGAGTGTATTGTTCATGTGTGTATGTATATCTATGAACACGCATGTATAAATATGTAGGAATCTCTGGGTGTGTATATGTATACATGTGTGTGAACATGAATTGTGTGTTTTTATGTGTGTATTATGCATGTCTACATGTATGAACAGGCATGTATAAGCACTTAGGCATGTTTCTATATGTGCGGAGTTCTATGACAAAACTTTTTCTGGGGAGACACAACACACATGCCTGCTCAAGTCCAGCTTGGCGAATCATGACTTTTACTGGGGTTACTTAAAAGCCCCAGTGAGGGATTACTTACAGGAGCAGAAATGACTCAAAAACAGCTGCCTCTTCACAGTCCACCCCAGCACAGGTGACAGCCCATGAAGCTGGGAACCTGGAGCACGCGGTACAGCCTGCCGGCAGCTCAACAATTTGGAGAGTGTCCGTTCTAAGGGACTCAGTGGATCTAAACGTCTTCCAGGCAGCCCAGCTGGTTTTGCTACTTTCAGGCATCTGGTCTGGTCTCAGAGTCAGCCTTTCAGCGTGGCTTGTCTGAGAGCCTTTGCAGCTTAACTCTCCTTCTCTGAGAGGGACACTCAGCTTTATTACTTAATCTGGTATGTCAGGGCCTAGAGAATCTGGTCAGTTTCAGGGACTTCCTGAAGTTATTTTGAATTGTCTACCTTTTTAAGGTACTTACTTGCAGGATGGAATGTTTCAGTCTTGGAGGAAACTTTTACATAGCAGTGTTTGTATGTGTAAACATGCATGTGTATATATGTACACATGGATTATGTGTGGTTCTGTATGTGTGTGTATGTGTATGTTGTGTCTGCATGTATGGTTCTGTGATTGTGTGTTCATGCAGGAGAAAGCTTGACATGGCTGGGTGCTGCCAGCCCCAGACTACCTTACTCATCCTGGTTGGGCGCCTGGAAATCAGCCACTCTTTGTACCAAACGGCACTCTCTGTACCAACTGGCTGCCTATGTTCAGCCCCAAGGGGGGCCACAGAGACAAGATGGAGTTCTGATCACTTCCTCGTGGCTTGGCTAAGGCCTTAAGACACTGCATTCTAGAGAAGATGCAGGGCCTTGGGCTCAGGGAAGAAAGACACTTAGCCTGGGCAAACACCTGGCAGGTAGCTGGGCGTGGGAGATTCAGGATATAGGAAGGGGGTGAGAAACTCTGTGAGCTGGCAGCTGTCCTTCCAGCCCCAGAGCCTGAGAAAACCGGACTTCCGGCTGAGGGTCACCTCAACTCTGCTCTTCGGACAGGGTTTTCATTGCCCTCTTCTACCCATATCTGCTCTCTTCTGCACCCCAGGGCCCTCCAGGCGAGGTCATCCAGCCCCTGCCAATCCAGGCATCCAGGACTCGGCGGAACATCGATGCCAGCCAGCTCCTGGACGATGGGGCTGGGGACAGCTATGTGGACTATGCAGATGGCATGGAGGAGATCTTTGGTTCCCTCAACTCCCTAAAGCTGGAGATTGAGCAGATGAAGCGGCCGCTGGGCACACAGCAGAATCCTGCCCGTACCTGCAAGGACCTACAGCTCTGCCATCCTGACTTCCCAGACGGTGAGGGAGGGCCACAGCACGGGAGACACCCCCTCACTCACTCACCGCCCATGGGAGGAAGAACAGGCTGGATCTCATTAGTCTGCAGAAACATCAGAGAGGGCGGTAACACGTCAGGCGAGGCCAGACGGAGGGGTCAGGCGTCAAGGCCGTCAAGGCTCATTAGGCTTTTCCTGCTTTACTCCGAGTCTCGTTGTTCCTGATCTGTAACACGAGGACAGAAACATGCCCTGTGAGTGGTAAATGAACAGTGTATAAAATGCCTTTGGCCTGGCACTTAGCTGGCTCTGGAGGCAGCGTGATGATGGGACTGTGTGCAATGCTGTGCTTGGGAAGGCGGGTTTTAAACACTGACAGAACCATAGAACCTTGCCCTCACCCTCTTCAAACCAAGGGTCTGTTGAGCAGTAAAATGAAACTGGCTTGTCTTTCCCTAAGGAGCAGGGATGTTCCTCCTGCAAGATTTGAGGGGTGTCTGATTTCAGCAGATTCTGACCCCACACCCTAAGTTTCCAGGTTCATTTTAAAACGTTGTCTGCCGTCCACGCATCACGGTCAGCGAGATTTACCCAGTGTGCTTCGTGCCCCAGCTGTGTTCTTGTGAACAGGCCAGTCTACTGCTCTTTACGTGCCCCACAGGAAAAGGAAAGTGCTGTGAGCTGAGGAAGGAAGGCTGTGTTGTTGGCTTTATGGCCCTGGCTGTGCATTTAACAGCTAGACTGAGATGTTGCGGTGGCTTCTGCAGCTGTCCAGGGAGCCATTCTCATGAATCTGCCTCCCTGTCTCTGAAATCCAGGCGAATACTGGGTGGATCCCAACCAAGGGTGCTCCAGGGACTCCTTCAAAGTCTACTGCAATTTCACAGCCGGAGGGTCCACATGCGTCTTTCCTGACAAGAAGTCTGAGGGGGTGAGTACCTCTGTCAACTGCCTGCTTCCACTTGGGCCAGGGTTTCGGTATTTCTTGTGTGTATACAGCTTTAAGGCTAAAAGCCAAGGGCCAATCGGTTTCAGAACCAAGAGCATTCTTCTGGAAATCAACGCTTCAGTTGTCCTGAGATGAGATATGTGAGGTGTGCGGTGGCAGGTGCAGCCTAGGTCCCAGCCCATGAAGAATGACTTCCCTGAGTGTGTTCCTCCAGCCGTCCACAATAGGATTAGCCTGGCAGTGGCAGCTGTCCCTGGGGCTCGGCAGCGTCACAGTCCAGACCAACCTAGAATTCTGAAAGGCCTTTGGGGGCAAGTGTGATAAAGAGTCCTGGACACCTGGAGGCTGCTGGGTACCTAACCTGGGAGTGCTGGCTTATTTCTGTGGACTCTATCCCAGGCCTCTCAGGCGCCACGCAGGGGTATGTCTGAGAATCAGCTGGGTTCTGACTCAAGAGATTTTGAGATCAGTTAGCCACCCCTGTGGTCTTTCCAGAGCTTACTCATAGAGGTAGGAATTTGTGTGCACGTGATAGGTGTGTAAATTGCGCTGGGCGATCTGTGGAAGAGGCTACAGGACAGGCCCCCACCTCAGTGTCCTTCCAGCTGGCCTGGGATGGCTCAGAGTTGTCCCAGGCCATTTTCTGGAGGCCACAGCAGGTGTGTATGCATTCCATACCGCAGCTTCCTAATGACCCCAGCAGCAGGGAAGTAAGTTTCTGCTGGGAAGAGCATAAGGGCTCCCTGGGGCTGCCATCCTCTCTCTAAATCACACCATAAAAGTGGTAAGTGACAGCATGCCCTCGGGTCACACCCTGCTGGTGGCAGCAGGAACAGAGCAGGGGTAAGAGATTCATAGTCTTCTGCCATCCCTCCATCCCTCCTGTGTTCTGATATCCTGGACTCCGGACTAAGTCCTGGCTTTGAAGGGGCCTGAGACATGAGGACTCACTCTATGGGTCTTGTACCCCTGCATCTGGGATGGAATTGAGCTGAGAGGGCTTTTTCATCCTCTTGGTGCTCTGCCCCTAGCCAGCCTCTGGTAGCCAGCCTGTCCCTGGAGAGACTGTGTCAGCTGTCATCTATACAGACCCTGCACTCTGGCTCTCTTTCTCTCACGTGTATGGACTGTGGACTGGGCCACTGCTGCCCTGCCTGGGGTGAATACACTCTCTCCTGGAGTCGCTGAGACACAGGGCTCTGCAGCTTTGAGCAGAAGTCTGAGCTGAAGCCTGAGCTCTGTCCCTGCCTTGGGAGGAACTGCTCCTACACAATTTGAGTGTGGCCTTGACTGACAGATCTGAAAACCACAGAGAAAAGTTAGGATTCTAGGGGCTCCAGTAGACAGGGCAACTCATTTCCCCAGTGGTCAGGCTTTGTCCTGTCACCCAGTTTCCCCAGCAGTCTATCTTTGTTTCAGCTGCGTCACTGGAGTTTCGTGACTGGCACACAGCTTGGCTGCTCAGAACCTCTTCTTCTTACTGCTCCTATAGCCTTATGTATATTGTAGGCCTGAGAAGGTTCCTGAGGCTTGTGAGTTGTGCTGACTCCCTGAGTCTTAGTAAGCTTAGCTCTAGGAGACGACGTTTCCATTCGGAGAATATAACTACACAACACTTCACCCCTTCTCCTGACTCTAATATTGTTTCCACATCTCCTGCTGCAAAAATAAGCTTCCTTCCATGACCAACGGAGACGCAGCAGAGCTGGGTAGGCCTAAGCACCAATGCTAAGAAGGCAGTTTGATAGGTTCATCACATGCATGAACGAAGCAGGAGCAGCGGCCTCCCCGCTGGAGCTTCCTCCCTGGTTCGCAGTTCCAAATGTGAGTTCCCTTCTGTGAAGTAGGCCCTAAACCTATTGAAAAGCAGCGGCTTACACCATAAATGTTGTACCACTATGGCGCCAATGTATGTATGGTGTACATCCTGTCTGGTTGTTGTTAGCAAAGCACCCAGGACCCACAACTAAACAGGACTGCCGGAGACAATCTCGACCCCAGCAGCCTACTTGGTACCTCCTGACACTAAGGAAGTCAGCCAGAAGGGAGGAAGTTTCCAGCTCAGTCTCAGTCTGATTTTTCCATGGCCTGAAGCCAGCCAGCATGGAGGGAGCTTCCCATATGGCTATATATTCGGCACACACCACACCCATGTACCTTTCACACACACATACATTATACATCTATGCGGCTCTGTGTTTGTGCCTTCCCCTTGTGATAGCCAGCTTGTGCACCACACTGGGTGGGCTGGAGGGAGGGAAGCTCATCTAGGGTGGGTGGGTGCAATGCAGGGCCTTGGTCGGCAGTGAGTGATCGGGTAAAGAACACACACACTTGGGAACAGCTTCAGAGAACTGGTACAGTTTATTGGCAAGGGGGGTAAGAGGGTATTTATTGCCCCTGGGGAGGTGGGCAGAGTCTCTGGGGCAAGGTTTATGTGGCCAAGTACAGTTGGCCAGAACTATACAGTTGGAGGATACCCAGGGGCTGGGGGTTGGGGAACTTTATAAGGCCAAACAAGGAGTGAGGCTTGATAACTGTCATGGTAGTAAGTTCTTGCTAGGGTTAGTAGTAGCAGCTGCCAACTCTCTGACTCCAGATTGGGAAAGGGGAGGGAGCCAATGTCTGCTGTCCTCGTGTGAGGTATCGGGGTTGAAGGTCCCTCAACCCCTTCCTCCATTAGTCCTTCATTACGGTTCCACACAGGCACACTTATGCATCTATAACACATACTGTATGTATATACACACCCCTGAACACATACACAGTGGGTCTGTCCACGTTGCTGGCACCAGGTGACAGCTGAAGAGCCTGAGCCACCGCCTCTCAGAACTGAGAGCGGGCTGAGATGCCCACACATCGCTAGCCCAGCAGTCAGGCTGGCTGCAGCTTTCCCTGTCACCGGCATGAGTCCCGTGGTTGTCACTTACTGCCCCACTCTTACCAGTCCCTGGTGCTCTGACGTGCATAGCCTGAGAGCGTGCAGCCTGTAGTCCTGGCATGTTGACATGTACCTGGCCACTGTAGAGTTCCAGGGCTGTTGTCACCCCATGTCAGCTCTTAGGGGAGGAGGCACAGGCATCTTGGCAGGACACACGGGCAGGGAGAGCTGGGAAGTCCATGGAGACAGAAATAACCCTTTCGTTTTCTGTTTCTCTCTCCCCCTCCCCCGCCCACCATTCCTGCCTGATGTGTAGGCCAGAATCACTTCTTGGCCCAAAGAAAACCCAGGTTCCTGGTTCAGTGAATTCAAGCGTGGGAAACTGGTAAGGTGACCCCACGTCCTTTGCGGTTGTCACTTTAAACCCGGCGTCTCCTATCTTGCAGAGTAAAATGGCCCGCTGGCCCAAAGAGCAGCCCTCCACCTGGTATAGTCAGTACAAGCGGGGCTCCCTGGTAAGTGGCTGCCTCGCGCTGCCTGCTTGCGGCTCGGCCTGGCTCTGGGCGCTGCATGGGACTAATCGCAGCTGAGGCCACACCTGCTATTGCCCTTTAGGCCAAAATGCTCCACATGCCTGACAGCAAGGCCCAGATGGGTGTGATGGTTCTTCTTACCTCCTCTTTCATCCAGACCAGAGTTCCTTCCATCCAGGAAGTAGGTGGGTAGCTTCCCACTGAGATTCAGGGCAGCCACAGCTAGAGGTGGGCACGCCATTAAAGCCATCTGCTGCTTATGGGAACACAACCTGGCTGGCAAGCTACAGGTCAGAGACATGCAGAGAGTAGGTGAGCCTTCATAAGTCCCTGGGCGTGGCAGACGAGGTGGTTTATGAAGGGTTCTTCCACTCCTGCCATTCACGCCTGCCTAGGCTATGCAGAGCCCACAGACTCTGGCTGCTGTTGCCCTTGCAGTCTGAAGTTGCTGTATCAGTCTGTATTTAACTTATGGGAGGTATATCTCAGAACAGAATCCGTCTCAGAGATGAAAAGATCTTAAAACATTGACCAGAAGGCCCTTGTGACCAGCACGGAGGAGAGCAACTTGTTTAGATTCACTGCCGTGAGACCAGTGCTCACCCACGCAAAACAGAACATTCTCCCCCAAACACTCTGGGCCTTTCCTGAAGTCAGCTCAAAACTTTGTGATGCACTGCTAGACTTCAGTTTCTAGGTCCCAAGCAGAGGCCACACCTTCTTTCCACTCTTCTTTCACCTCATCCTGTGGGTCCTTGCTCACTCGAACCCTATTGGGGCTTCCACTGCCTCTCAGCACTGCACAGCCTCTGCCTTTTTAGTGAGCACAGGGCGGCGTGGCTTTCAGGACTATCCTTCCCCCTCCTGTCTGCCATCCCTCAGCCTGGAGGCCTGCCTGGCTCTCTGTCAGGGTCTCGAGGAACTCGCCTCTGTGCAGAAGCTGCTGGCCCATGATCATCGGGCTTCAGCCCCATGGCTTTTTCTTCCCCTTCTGGGAACCAGGCATCCTTGGCTGTCGCTTCCTCTCCTCTGCTTCCTCTGCTTTCTTCAGAGGAGAACCACTGGCACACAGAAGGACCTGTGGGGAGGAAACCCCAGTGAGCAGGGACAGGAGATCCGAGGGGTCAGGCAAGAAGGAGCTGTGGGAGTGAGACTGCCCAGGGCTGAGATCCACTGGCATCCTGTCTGTCTGAACTTGACCTGGCTTTTCCCCTTCCCAAATGGTTTCCACCTGGTGTAGACCATATCCCCCAGGGGGCGCCCACCCGTCACTCTCCTTGCTGAAGTAACAAAGATGGTCATAGAATTGCCCCGTCTGACCTTTATCCTGAGTCACTTACCAAGGACAGAGGCACAGGGACCGTCCAAGGCAAACCAGCCTGCCTTCAAGCTCCACTGCCTGATTCCCAGCTCCCCGTAAGAACCACAGTAACTTTGGGGAATCAAACCTCTGTCTTAGATACCTAAGATGGCTGCTCATACTGAGCTCCCACTGAGGCTGCAGGGAACCAATCCCCTAGGGCAGGGCCACTTGAAGACTCCAACTTGGGGCAGTACTGGGGCTTCGGGTCCTTCTGTGGTGCCACCCCTGCCTCTGCTGTGGCATGTGTCCTTTCTCAAGTCAGTCATGTGTCCTCCAGGAGCACCGGATACCTGGACTGCCGGTTGGTATGAATTTTTCCCCTGCAGAGTCTGACTGTGGGGTTTCTCAAGCTGTCTCCAAGGGAGTGGAGTTCAATTGGTAGCCTGGGAACCCCAGGGCATTCCACCACCATGGTGGGAAGGAGCAGGGACCTGGGCCTGGCCTCCAACCCCCACCCCCATTCTTCCTCCTGTTACTATTGAAAACGCGGGTTCTGAAGTTATCGTGTCTTCTTGGTCACCATGCCCTGTGCCACACTCGGCACTGACCCAGCATTCCTTCATTGCCCACCTGCCCTTTGGAGTGGCCAGCACAGAACAGTGTTGGAGCAACAGGTGCTTGGAGCTGGGTTTGCCAGAGTGAGACGCTGACCTCTGCCAGCCTCTTTCCTGGATACAAGTGTCATTAGAGGACCTGCCTAGCTGAGCCCTGCTAGGCCTTGCCTGGAGAGAGGCTTTCTGCCACATCTAGGCCCAGGGCGGCAGTGCTTTATCCCACAGCTAGGAGTTCTGCACCCCTGACAATACCGATGCCTCAGAGAACTCTGCAAAAGCGCTGTAGACAATGAGACTCGCCTCTCAGGGTGCCCGTGCCAGCCTGCACATAGTGGAGCAGAATGGGTTGAGGTGCTGGTGACACTGGAAGCCATTTACAGCGTGGCTTTCTCGTTCTCTGATGCTGTTCCCAGTTGGTTGTGGAGAGCAGGGCCTTCCAGGAAAGGAAGCCTCAGAAGCCTGTCCTGTGGCAGAATAGGATGCCCTTGTACCTCCAGGGTATGCCTGGTCACTCCACTTCCCACACAGCTCAGATCCTACTTAGGCTAATCTACCATTCATCCAGGCTATGTCATTTCCCAAGGTCTCGGCCATTCTAGCTCTTGATTCCCAAAGTGGGGCCTTGTGCACCCTGACCACCCAGTAGGTGACCTTCCATCTGCCCACAAGAGCCATGCTGCCTTCCTTCGCTTAGCACAGTGACAGGGACAACAGGCTGAACTCCTGTGCTTGTGGCTTGTGTGGTCCAGGGAAGCTGACAGATGGGCCCCGGACACAAGACCTGAGCTGGCACAGAGGCAAGCTGGTACACACAGCCTCAAGGCTGTGTGCAGAAAACCTTGAAGAACGGTGGCAGAGCTGTAACCAAAGGTGACAGCTGCAGCGTCTCCTGCCTATGGGCATGTGCCCAGCAAAGAGGAGAGCCTCTGTTAAGGTTCAGGGTCAGAGAGAACACTCAAGACATGCCAGGAAAGGGTGTGGTCACCAGACCCCAGGAGCCTTTTCTACTCCAAGGCTTTATTCCCATTCATCTGCTCCAAGGACCCAGACCTTGCCTCTTGCTCCCAGCACCCTGGCTCATCAATAGGAGTGTGGATCCTTCTGTGTGCCATGAAAAGTTTTAATGGAATGTGTGTTTGTTCGGCGCAGCAAGCCAGGCAGACCCTGCCAAGTGGGGAGGAGGTAACTGGCTCTTCAGAAGTGGCCTGGAAGCTAGAGGCAGAAAAGAGGGTCAAATGCAGGAAAACCTGACCTAGGCAGGCTTCCTGAAGGAAGCAGTGCAGTCACTTAACCTGGAGAGGTAGGGCCGCTAGATGGAGAATAACAATCAGACTTTGGAGTCTCTGCAGAATGCATGGTGTGTTTCCCTTGGCTCATGTTCCTGGGGCTCCCAGGAGATCCTGTGTGCCAGGGGAAAGGAGTATGGGAGTTTCCAGGCAGCAACCTCAGGGAGACGGGCTCGGGTGAAGCCCGGAGGGAAACTCTGTGGCCATTTCTGTGTCTCCACCCCGCTGATCCTCACGCTATACCCACCCCCAGCTCTCCTATGTGGATGCCGAAGGCAACCCTGTGGGCGTGGTACAAATGACCTTCCTGCGGCTGCTGAGTGCCTCCGCCCACCAGAACATCACCTACAACTGCTACCAGTCGGTGGCCTGGCAGGATGCCGCCACAGGCAGCTACGACAAGGCTATCCGTTTCCTGGGCTCCAACGATGAGGAAATGTCTTATGACAACAACCCCTACATCCGTGCCCTGGTGGATGGCTGTGCTGTGAGTATGCCTCCCTGGGGTGCTCTCCTCACTCTGCACATTTACAGAGTACGTTCTGTGTGCCATTCCCTGAGCTGTCCTGGGGATGCAACGAGGGCCAACTACGCGCCAGCCTGACCATGTCAGAGTGTAGCTGACCTGGTAGGTCCGGGTTGGAGTGCAGAGACAACGCCCACTTAAGTAGCTCTTTTCTGGTCAGGATGTGATCGTGGACAGGGCACCTTTGTGTGTATGTACTCTTATGTCTGTATATGTGCCTGTGCACTTGTATGTATGAGTATGTGGGCAGGGACAAGTGGCTGTCATTCCTGTAGAATGACAAGGTGTCTCAATGCTTTAGCCTGCCAAGTAAGCTAAGCTGGCTGGCCAGCGAACTCCAGGGACCTCCAGGAATCCAGCAGCCTCCCCACTCTCACTCCCCAAGCACTGGCGCACACCACCACCCCAGCTTTTATTTTAAGGGTTTATTTCATTTTTATTTTCTGTGTGTTAGTGCTTTTCTCACTCACTCACATGTATGTATGCACGCCTGGTGCCCATGGAGGCCAGAAGAGAGCACGGGGACTGGAACCATGGATGGTTATGAGCCACCACCTGGGTGCTTGAGGCTTTACCCAGGTCCTCTGCAAGAACAACAAGCACCTTCCCCCACTACGCCATCTCTCCAGCCCTCATACCCAGCTTTTAAAATGTGGGTTCTGGGGGACCAAACTCTGGTCTGCATGCTTGCGTGACAAGAACTTTACTGATTGAAAGATCTCCCCCAATCCAAGACTGAGCTTCTGAGGGAGGAGTCAAGCATGCTGGGGAGTTCTCTACACACCTCCAGGGGCAGGCTGACCCTGAGAGAGTGTGGTAGCTGAGGTAGAAGTTTTCCTGACCGTAGTCCACACTGACCATGTTCTTTATGGGGGGTGGAGAGAGGCTGTTCTGGTCACAACACCAAACGTCATTCTGAGCTGTGACATCGTCAGCATCTCTGGGTGCAGAGGTGAGGCACAGGACAGAAAAGATCATAGATCCTGTCTTGGAAAAGGTGGGGGGAAATAATGGCTCAGAACAAAACAACCTGCTGGTAGAAAAAAATTGGCTGTGTGTGCTGGGGAGGAAACTCAGGAAGAAAGAGCAGACGAAAAGGACTGTGGAGGTGCGAGGCGGCCTACGGAACACAGCGTGCAGCAAGCCAGCCTGCTTTCTGCTCCCAAGCCCCCGAGTTGAACCATGACCTGAAGGGCCACCATCCTCTCATTCAGTTTGCTCCTATCCTCCACATGCAGGCCATCGGCTGAGGCCTGCCCATCCCTGGGAGGCCAGCTTGATTCATTTTGTAAATCTCAGCTACTGAAATTGGAATTCCAACACTGGCATTGTGTGGCTGGGTAGCCTGATTGACGGGGCTGCCAAGCGGCCAGCCCTGTGGAGGGACCAGGAGCCACTCCACATCAATCCCGTTGTTTGTGCAGCTTTGTGTGCCCCTGGGGGGCCATTGCTAGCTGGCAATGGTTATTTATATCTCTTCTTTAAATATGTCCCTCTCTGAGCACTCTGATAATTGGAGCAACGGGGCCCCACAAATCCATGTGAAATCGACTGCCAGCTCCAACACGGTGGTCCCTGGGGCGGGAGAGAGACCCATTCCATGCTGATGCCATAAGTGGAAGAGGTGTGGGCTGGTGTAGGCCTATGGGCTCATGACTCACTGGCACACAAAATGGAGACCTCATTAGGGACCTCACATGGCCCTCCAAGACTATATCACCTTCTAGAGTCTAGAAACGAGCAGGCTGATGACTTCATGTAAGTCCCAGGAGCAGAGCCCAAGGTAACAGGGCCTAGATTACAGGGCACCAGCTCTGCCTCCCTCCTTCCTAGCCTGGCCAGTACAGTCTCAGTTGTCCATCACCCACCCTAAAGCTACCCATTGACCTTTAATCCCTGGCTGTTCTGAAATTCACTCACAGAGATCTGCCTGCCTCTGCCTCCTAAGTGTTGGAATTAAAGGTGTGGGCCACTGTCCTTTTATATTGTTTATGTGTATGATGTGCATATTTGTGTATTTTTTTCACATATAGGCACATAATGCAGGTGCATATGCATTTGTGTGTGTGTCTCTGTGTGTGTGGGTATGTGTGTGTGGGGGGGGTGTGTGTGCATATGCATATGGAGACCCAACATTGGAGTCTGTTGGGAATCATCAGGGAAAGGGTTTAAGGGCAGGGCCTCTCAAACCCAGAGCTCGACTGATGCGACTTGTCTTGCTAGCTGGCTTGCTCTGGGATTGCCTAGATCTATCTCCCAAAGATGGAGTTACAAGTGGGCTGCCACAGCCATGCAGCGTTTACCTGTATTTCTGAGGGTTCAAACTTCAGTGTTCATGTTTGCAGGACAAACACTTTAACCACTGAGCCATCTCTCTAGCCTCTCAGATATTTTGCATGGTAAGTTTCAGGCAGTAGCCATGGAAGTGGAGTGGTATGGCCATGCCTTTGGCCAGTTCCCTTACATCCTGCCAAGCAAGATCAGGTATAGGTATCCCTCAAACTCAACCATGCTCTAAGCAACCAATATCTCTGCTGGGCTCCTGGTGGCAAATTCTTTCAGTGTTTCTCAAGGGGCAACCAGAAATCTATAAACGACAAAATTGTCCAAGACTCCCATTTAAGCAAATCCACCCCAAGTCAATCTGGATGGGCAGAACCTGCAGTGCTCAAATGCTCCTGGAACACGGGATGTCCCCACCCTGTCTCTGAGCACAAGACAGAGGGATCCTGTCAGGGCAGCTGTGGGCAGGTGAGGTCTGGGGCACATGGGAGTTGAGAGCAGTGGAGGCAAGACACTGGATGCCAGCCAGAGCAGGTACTGCCCACCTCCACACTCACACCTTCCACATTCCAGCTGGAGACATCAAGTAGCCCACTGTGTTTCTTGCTGTATGTAACAAATCAGCCAGCAAAGCTTAGCAGTTTTAAACAAAGGAATTTACCAGTGTACTCAGGCTTGAAGTGGGAAGCCGAGGAGTGGCTTGCCTCCATCTGTGGCTCGGGGTGGCTTGGGTTTGGCCATGATCACCAATGACCGTCGCCTAAGTGCCTTATAAACAACAGGAACTCACAGTTCTGCCAGCAGGAAGTCCAAGGTTGTGACCATCACCCTGGGTTGTACATAGTTACCTTTGCAATATTGTCACAAGGCAGAGATGGAGGGTCTTTCTGGGGCCCCTTCATGGCCTCGTCATCACTGCAAGGTCTGCCTCCCACCATCACCGTGAGCAATGCGGTTCCTATTTGGATTTGGGGCACACACTCAGTCTACAGCCAGGAGAGTAAGGCCCTACAGCTGGGCACTAACATGGGAGTTTCAGGATTGACCCAGGGTCAGTAGGGGAACCTCTGCCGGGCAGTACTCTGGCATGTGGTACCCACAGTTGCATCTGGGATACTTGCCGTCCACCTACCTTCTCCTCATGATTTCTGCCAGGAGTGAGGCAGTGGAGGGAGACCCTTCCCAGGCCTTGCACAGTTTCGTGTGAATGCAGTCTACATCCATAGCAGTGGAAGCCCTGGCCCAGGACATGTGGCCAGTGGGTAGCCCCAAGATTCATGGGGGAAAGGTGGATATCAGGGACCATTAAAGGGAGTTGGCAGAACTGTAGAACCAGATTGTTCTCTGTGATAAATGTTTTTGATACCTGAAGTTAAGCTTGCTTGGCTTTGGGGACAGAAGTACCTTTTGTCTCTCTCCCTATATTCTGGGCCAAAGGAGATGTCTGTGTTGGTAGCTTCCCCAACTGGTTGAGGCCACGCTTGCTGTTCGTAGGAGAACCTTGTCTCCTCTGCTCAAGAGTGCTGGTCTGAGCACAAGAGGGGCACTGCCTATCTAACAGGCTGCCCAGGCCCTGCACCATCATGACCCTTCCATGCCTCAGTTTACCCAGTTCACTCTGGAACCATTGGAGGGGCCTGGCACGGCTGCAGACTTTCACCTCCCTCTTCTGTGTGAAGTCTTAAGGGGTCCCATCACTTCTCTGCTCAGCTATGTTTCTTCCACTTTCCTTTTCTTGGTGGCTCTGTCTTGATGACTCAGGAATTGGTGGAGCCTGGGGGTAGAGGGGGACCTGAGCCAGGGGAGGATCTCTGGCTTTAACTGGCTCCATCTCTTCCCCCTTCCTAGACCAAGAAAGGCTACCAGAAGACGGTGCTGGAGATCGACACACCCAAAGTGGAGCAGGTCCCCATTGTGGACATCATGTTCAACGACTTTGGTGAAGCCTCACAGAAATTTGGATTTGAAGTGGGGCCAGCTTGCTTCCTGGGCTAGGAGCTGCTGAGCCCACTGGTCTCCAGAGCAACCTCGTGACCTCAGCAACCCACCTGTGGGCATCCTGTGCACGGCCCATCCTGGACAGTGAACGTTTCTCACCCCTCCTGCCTGATGCATCTGCGCCTCAGACCCTCCGTGGCGCTGGACCCCACGCCCAGAGAGAACAAAGGGAAAGAGCCGTGTCCCCACGGAGCCGAATCACATGACCTAGCCACACCACAGCCTCTTGCCATGCTGTAGGCCCTGGTCCCCAGCTTTCCGGATAGAATCATCAAAGGTGTTAAAGGACCCTTGGCCGGGAGTGGGGGTGGAGCAGTATTTGGAAATCACTTTTTAAAAATTCAACTTGAAGATATGTATTCCCCTGACCTTCAGAAGATGTTCTGAGGTGGTCTTGTAAAGGTCGCCAAAGCCTCCTTTTTTTTTTTTTTTAAACAACCCTCAACTCATCCACTCAGAGGCCAAATGTCATTCCACACGTGCCTTTCCGATGGATTAAAGGTGCTTATGTTTTTGTGAGAGTTTTAAGTAAATATTTGTATTGTATTGTTATAAATGTTAAGTGTGCTGGCTTTCAGTCTTGCCTGGACACCCAGCCTCAGGCCCATGAGGAGAGTGGGCAACTGGGATGAGGCACCAGCTCAGGCTTGCAATCAGGCTCTCCGCAGAGGGCATCTCCTCACCCCATCCCCCAAGAACGTGCAATAAATTGGAAATTTGCCCAGTCAGCAAGAAGCTGTGTTGCCACTGCAGGTGCTTGGGCCCCTTTCCAGACTCTTAATTATTTTTTTCTTTTTGATTAGCTCTGGATAATTTTTTATGGGGAGGGGGGAAAAAGGCATTTGCTATCCTGCCTTTTCCACGTGCACTCAGATTAAAACACAGGCTTAAATTAATTCTGATTGCTTCCTTTTTTCGTGTTCCTTCCTGCAGAGGCTGATGGGATAGTGTCCAGGGCTGGAGAACCACGTGTTCTGTAGATGATAGATAACTATGAACATTGGTGCTGATTTTTTTACACTTGTCTCTTGTGGTGCTATGTGTCCTGAGATCCCTAGAGGCAGCGCTACGGTGCCTGCTGTGTCTTGTCCCCAACCTTCCTTTATCCTGGCTATTTCTCCACATTCTGAGAATTTGCCAAGGACCTGAAGATGGCATTGGTGCCAGAGACCTTTCCTCCATGCTGGCACTCTGTGCTTATGATGGTGGAGAGTCCTTCCTGAAGCCTGTCCCCCGACTCTGGGCTCTGCTTACATCATTTGAAAACACATGAGCAAAACAAAGATTTTCTGCATAGTACATGGTGTATCCATGTTCTTGTTCGGTTGCTGAATGTTTGTGGTGCTAATTTCTGTGTGTGTGCCAAGACGGGATGGAAGCCACTGGGTGCCCACACTGACAGGCAAACCGCTTTGTGAGCGGCCGGTGGACTGAGAAATGTGCAATGGACTCTGTGGCTCCAGGCTCCTCTGTTTGGGTTTCCACCAGAGGGCTGTCTTGGGTACAGGTGTCAGTGGTAGGGTCGCCTCTCCCTTCTCCTCCAAGGTGTGTGTGGTGGCTGGGTGGGGGCTTCCTTCTGGGTTCAGAGGTCTCCAAGACCAAGGTGAAAAGGATGCCCCCCTGTGAGAGTTGCCCTCTTGTCATACTTCTCCTTCCACCACGAGAAAGCTATGGTGCCCCAGGGAGCCAGCCTCCACGCTCTGGTGCGTGTGTCTCCACTCCACCCCTGAAGTGTAGGAGACCACAGTGAAGCACCCCGGAGTGGCCAGGATTGATGAATGCCACCAATGAGCATCCCCAAAGTTCCCTGAAGAACAACTATTACTCTTGCCAAAGAAATGCCTGGCTTGGAGTGTTCTCCTGAAAGCCAGGAAGCCGTCGTGAGCCAGGGACTGCTGTGCGCGCCTCTACGTGAGAAAAGCCATACTGGAAGATGGCCATATGCCCTGTGGATTCTGTGTAGGTCATGTGATTCGGTTTCTGCCTCTCACCCCATCTGAGTTATCCTTTCACTCTGTCCTGTTCTACTGCCGGTCCCTTCCAAGCTGTAATTTGTACTGAAGTCCAAAACGTGTCCTGTTCTCCTCAGTCCACTTTAGCTTCAATATTTTACAATAAAATTACTTCTTATATTTGCAGAAAAGCTTCTGGCATCATTTCATGTTTCCGTTTCCTCTGGTGTGTGCACTCCCTCTCCATATATATAATTGGGCAAATGCTGATGAAAATACACACGCAAAAAAGTAAACTGAGGGACTGTGATAAAAACTCTAGGACCTTGGCTCCTTTAAAATTCCAGGCCAAAGGATACTTTGTATGTTTCCCAGGAGTCTAACCTGAAGCCTCAAATTTTAACTTTTCCCCAGGAAGAGTGTTCTAAAGTATTTTAAAACTGTGTAACAAAGGAATCGTTGTAACAGTGTCTCAATAAAGGAGTTTACTGTTTACACCCCAGAGATTTGACTGGCTGTCTTCTTTGCATGGCCAGGCCCTCCACCTGACGTTCCTGTTGCTTTACAGCCCAGGAGGTTAGGAACTGTGAACTTGAGGGTGGTGGTCAGGAGGGATGGAGAGTGGCTATTTGACTGTGACCTCACATTGCTATGGCTGGAGGAGGCATCTTGTGACTTACCTCAGCTAATGACCTTTACCAAATGGGACATGTACCCCTTGCCTCTGAAGGGCTGGCTCCCTTTTGTATGTCACCAGTCATGGCTATGTTCCAGCAGGTTTTGGTGTCATACCCACCAGCCTGTCATGAACTTGGACTGTCACTCCCGGAAGCACATTTTGCTGCTTTGAGCCACCTCTAGTGATGATTGTTACTACAGAGCCCCAGGCCAGTGAATCTCACTGTGGTCCACAGCCCTACAACAGTGTGCCAATCTGACCTACAGATGTCTCTCTAGAAAACTAGTCACCTGTTGCAGGCTGGATCATTTGAGAACACCATCTTGATATGCTTTAACTCTGAAGGACTTGGTACTGGAGGAGAAACCTTCCTTCTGTCAGAATGTAAAGCTTCTGACAGTCACACAGGCAGGATATTGAGTCTCAGGGTTGAGAACTTGAGAGCTTTGAGGCTTGGAAGTGGAGGATGAAGCAGTAATCCACAGCCTCAGGTAGGAAAATGCTGGCCTCGAAGGCTAGTTGCTCCTGCCCACTTTGGAACTACTTGAGAGAAGGAGCCCCGAACTGTGGAGAGCAAAGCCTACAGGGCTGGCAATCCGAAGGCTAGATGAGGTTTCCCAGCATCCATTACTGAAATATCCAATCGAGAGAAGCTCTGGGGGACACACCAGTCAGAACTTGGCCATGGGAGTTGAGCAACTGGAATTCAGGCTTGGAGTGGAAGCAGGTGAGAGCAGATATCTCCTGCAGGTTGCAGTGAGTGGCTCAGGAAAGGGACACCAATGGTGTGACACTGCCAAAGGCTAGTAGATGTAAGATCCTACAGGAGACTAGAAGGTCCAGGAACCGTGGTGGGAGGTGCCATTGGTGGGGCTTCAGGAAGGCACAGGTGGAAAGCTGACCATCTCTAAGAGATGGGATTCGTAGAAGACCTCCAGCAGGACCTGTAGGAGTTGGTGATGAAACCTGGCAGGTTCCTCTGACCATGGACCCATATGGAGTAGCACATGGCAAGAAAATGGCCCAGCTCCCCTCACTGGGAACTGTACCTGAACCTTAAAGGCAGAGTTTTCTCCAGATCAGAATGGGCCAGCTTCTTGGCTGAATGAGAGGGCCAGGGACTGGCCAAAGGGACTGCTCCAAGCCTATTCTAGGGTGGCCATAAACCCATGCTTGTCCCCAGATCTTGACAGACAAAATACCTTCCAACAATGGAAGGTATAAGCCCACCATCCAGGTTAGAGGTCCCCAGCCTGAGGGCTTTCTCTTGTGGGGTAAGTTCTAGAACACTCTACTAAAGGACTAGAGTTAGGGTTGGTAAGCCATGGGAACAGTGAGGCTCTTGACTTCTGCGAGTGTTTTTTTGCCTGTGATGAATACAAAGGCATGGTCCATGAACTCATTTTTCAAGCCAAATCCACTAAGGCTGGGGAAGGGCGGTCAGGTCCTAGTGAGGCCACAACTTCCTCTATTCTTCTCCTCTGTAAAGACTCTATCCTAATGTGAGCCAAGTTTCAACAGACCCTCACTCCAGCTCTGTCTCCTCACCTTGCTCAAGGAAAGAGCTAGAGGTCAGAGCCCCAACCAGGTGGGCTCTGTGATCCTCTCTTCCCTTGCTCAATTGCCCCTGGGGTAAAGCCTCCTCTGTGAGACATTTGGGTCTGAATGGCTGGACAGAAGAACAGTAAGTCACGTCGGGACCTTCCTGCTCTGCTGCAATGGGGTAGGTGAGGACACCACCAAACCTAGCAGGAACACAGGCTATACCCCAGCTTGGCTGAAGTGAGTTTTGATCCTCAGCCCTTTGCCCTATCCCTCGCTCAGCCTTTGGAAACCAGCATGTTGGGGTGTGAGGCCCAGGCTTTCACCTGCCCTCTACTCCCCTAACTTCCCAAACGGGAGCCACAAGCATCTGCCACTGCCCGCGCTGCACTCACATGGGACCCTGTCAGGTTCTGTGTCTGCTCCGTGCCCCGGGCAAGAAGATATCCCTCCCCAGCTGCATCCCAGGAGTAAACACAGCAGAAGCCACATGCATGTCCTCCCAAAGGCATGCCACTTCCCTTTTTTCCAGACTGACAAGTGGAGATCACATCGGTTTGGGAGACATCCAGTCCCCAGGCATATGTTGTGAGCCAAGACGTTCAACTGTGCAAGAATCCATTGCCCTTGGGACTTTCTCAAATTTGTTTCAAACTAGAAGCCACTGCACAGAGAACCTTTTCAGGGTCAGAAATGTTTAAAAGACTTCTCTCCAAAATGGGGGCCTTCCCCCTCTGTGTCTAAAAGATTCACTGTGGGACCCATGGCTCTAAGACAAGAGGCTTGAGACAGCACACAATTTCACCTCACAGCTTCTGGAAAGAGCTTCAGCGGCCCCACGGCACAGGGTCCCTCCTGACATTGAAACCCCGTGTCTGCGGGGACTCAGGCCTTATTCATAGGGTTGAGTAGAGAAGGGCCTATCTCTGAGTGCCCATGGTGGTAGCAGGATTCAGGTCCTTGGGAACTATTAATCGGCAGCCACTGCCAACCCTCCTCATAGGACCTTCTCCAGGTGTGGCAGATTTCGTCACAGTGGTGAGAGGAAAGTGGCCAGGAAGAAAAGGCTGAGTTCAGCACACCTCAGAAGTGGTCACCTGCCCCTAGGCCGTGGGTTAAAAGAAGCTGACAGCCATGATTCTGCAGCTGGCACTTGACCCCTGGAGTCAGCCCCACTGCATTTTAGACTGTGTAATGCTCAGGAGCCCTGGGGTCAAGGAGAAAGTGCTTTGTTCTGGATCCTAAACACCCCACAGGCTTAGACACCAGCCTATGGCACTGCTGAGGGATGGTGTTATCCCAGGAAGTGGAGCCCAATGAGAAGAAGTTGGGTTACTGGGGATGTGACCTTGAAAGGGGTCTCCAGCCTCTCCCTGTGTCTGCTTTTCTGTAGCCTTTATAATGGGGTTTCTAGAACATATTCCCATTTCTGTGAGGCACAAAGACCTCATAGGCCTACACCAATCAGAGATGTGGCTGTGAACTCGAACCTCAGAAGCTGTAAGTTGATCTTCTCAGGCATTTTGTCACAACAACCAGGCTGGTGAACACAGCAACCTTGTCCAGGGTGAGACCTGAGTGCAGAACCACTCTCGAGAAGGAAAGAACAGAAAGGAAGGCTTCTTGCTGCTGAAGGCCAGTGTGCTGTGATTTCATCTTTCATCCTTGACAGGAAGGCCTTATATCTCTCCTGCCTGAGATTTTAATGGGTGCTGCCACAGCTGAAGAAGACCACAGCTAGATGGTGGCATGTTCTACTCTGATTGACATAACAGGGTCTCATGGTGTCCAGGAAGAAGAATGCTTTGATGGAACGGGTTTATAGATTAATGAAGAAGCATATTCCCAGCTGGAAAAACCATGGAACTGAGGTTTAGGGGGAGAAATGGACTGCATTTGGATGGCAGTAGCTCACACCCAGAGACAGCATGAGTGAGTCACAGAAGGCCACACAGGACACTAGGCACAGCTAGAACATGGCAGTGGCTTGGGACACTTCTTGTATATTTAGTCTATTCATCAGCGTTCCACTGCTGGGACAAGATATCTGAGAGGCTCGTAAGAAGAGAACAGGTTTGTTTAGCTCTTTTCTTCCAAGGTTTCATTTCCCAGCAAAGGGATATCTAGGGAAGGGACTCGAGGACAAAAGGGTCATGTGATGAGGGACATGGCTGTGGGTGTGGACTTGGCATGGAGGGTACTCTTGGGGTGGGGCACAGAGGCCTTTTGGAAGATCATTCTACAGTCCAGTGAAATAGGGATTTTAAATGAACATGTAGACATCACATGCCTTAGTGTCAATGTCAGGATGGGCCAAGAGTGTCAGTCACTTACCTGCATGGTGATGTCTGTGTGGTCCAGGATCAGGTAGGTGTCAGACACCTGTGCAGTCACCCCCCCCCCATACCCATTCTTTCCAGGATCTTCACTCGCTGTCCTCTGGTGCCCTGCCCTTCTTACTATGTCTGTAAACCCTCCAAGGTTTTTGCCTCTTTCTCTAGACTTACCCCAATATTGCAGATCTGAGCTCCAGCTCTCACTTGTCGCTTTTCAGAGATGGGGTTGTGAATGCCCCTCAGACTTGTGGCACCTTTGAAGGCCGCTTGTGTCTGCGACACCCAGTGACTTTCCTTCTAAGAAGAATTACCGAGGACTCAGATGGGCAAATGCAAATCAGGTTAATCTAATGTCTGTGAACACGGTTGGGTGTCAGTCCAGAGAAAAGGCAAAATGGCTGACACACCAGTGTGGTGCAGAACAGAGTTTTTATAGCCCCTGATCATGAAAAATTCCTACCCTGTTTTACCCATAGGTTGATAATCCACCCCTACTTCCCCATTAATCTGGGGGCTCCAGGTTGACCCCACCTCCATTTTCTGGTATGTGGGTTCTGAGGACCTGGTCACAGAGCAGACTCTGTACCTTTTCAACCCTGAAATAAACTAAAATGCCTCCAGGCAGGCTGGAGCTAGGGAAGACAAGAGGTCCAGTGCCTCCTGCTTATCTGTGACTTTCTGATGAACTCTCAATTCACCTCACACTGAAAATGGACCATAAAGATTTCTTTCTAATATCATCAACAAAAATAATATAAGGCATGGCTTCTTTTCTGGTTTTGACCCTTTTTCTCCCAAGAAATTTTATGTAACTCCAGTCATGTAGATAACATAAATCAGATACACATACCAAACATTTATCGATAATAAATTGTAAAGAAATTTACTTTAAAATAATCATTTGGTAGACATATTAATTTTATCATTCACTAAATACA